AAACTATCTCAAAATCAAGGTAAGGCCTACTTAATGAAATCTTATAAATTCCTTTTTGATTTGATGTATAGAAGCGATAAACCGAGTCTGAAGTAAGCGACTCTCCGCGCATCCTGCCCTCGGAGGTGGGCACACGGCGACAGGAGGTCGTCTCAGTAAAATTGAGTTTTCTCGCGAATCCCTCAACCGATTTTCAAAAACTTGGGCTTGTTTTAAAGTTTAGATTATGCCTAATAAATAAATTTTTACCGATTTGATTTATCTCTTTTCGTTCGGAAGATACAAGGTAGGGAACCTTACTTTTTGGATGACCCTCGTATTTACATCAATTCATTGCACTAAGTGTAAATGTCATCATCTTCACTTAATTTGTCCAGAAATTACTCGTCGGACGATTATAACAGGAGATATCGGGCAAAAACCGCGAAAAACAATTTTCGCTCATTTTTCAAAGTTCGGAGCCCGCCAGCGCGCTTGATTTTGCCTTGAGCAAAAAAGTGTATAGGAAATTTTTTATAGGAAATTCAACGATCTTTATTTCTGAAAATAACTAATTTTATCGTCAGATCAATTTTTAGCAAGTTACAGGTCATAATCCGGAAAAAAGGCAGATTTTAGGCCATTTTTGCCAAATTTGGCAACTTTCCGGTCCGAATTTAATGGCGCAAAGTTGAAATTCGGATTCACCGTCGAAAATTACATAGAAATCGATGAAAACATTGCTACCTGGGATTTTTGCAGGCTCTTTTCCTTGTTTGCCTGGACTATTTCGCAAAAGGTGAATAGATTTTCAGAAACACGCTGGGGCACTGTAAAATTCTTCTTAAATTTTGAAGAAGTATACATTTGGAAAATTTCTATCTATTTTCAAGATTTTCAGTACAGAGGGATATTTTTAGTAACTGCGTTTCATTTTCTTCCGATCATCATCTGCTTGTATAGGCGCTATGCGTTTCACGCCGATTGCTGCTTTGCGGACCGCACCGTTGACGCAATGCGTGAAGTATTCGTGCAGTCTTGTAGGCGCTATGCGTTTCATGCCGACCGCCACGCCGATGGCTTCTCCTTCTCATGTCAGTCCTCATCATTATAGCTCTCCGCGCCGCTCTGCTTCAGGTCCTATTGCGTGTTTGGTGTCTCTCTTAACTCGACTATAATTAAAGGTGTTGTCCCTTGTATCACCGAAAGACGACAAAATTAGAAATTACTATACTTTTACTCTCAGGAAATGAGAGATTTTGTCCCTTTTTCTCGTTCGTAGTTTATTTTCTGAATCCGATTTTTATCTCTCATTTTTTGATACCTACATTCAAAAAGATTGCAAAATTTGCCGCCCCCTACATTTTGCCGCCATGGGCCCCGCGTTTCATGTGGCCACCCCCTTAATCCGGCCCTGTACTCAATAATGCTAAAATTAAAAAATATTAAAATTAATAAATATATACGGCGTAGGTCCGCAATATCGCTTATCTTGTTTGCGGTGTCTGAAAATCTCCACCTCTATGTTATTTTTTTAAAAAAGAAGAAATTGACATCAATTCCTTGAAGTTTTTGCAGAATTTTCTTCGCAAAGAGAAGAAAAATCACGGCAGTTTTAAAGAATTACCGTTGAATAGCTTTCCGTTTAAAAAGTAAAGTGTGACAGAAAGTCTGCGACGTCGCAAACCGAGTTATATGTGATTGCAGACTTACACCGTCGTTTTCCATTTTAGGACATGCTGAAAATTTCAAGATAAATGACGTTCAGGAGCTAAAAATCGTTCAAAATACTACTGCGTACGTATGGTGCAATTTTTTCACCTGGCTAGAAATTGATGACAACTTTTGCTATCAGAATTCAATGAAAGAAGGGAAGCAGAACTGAAAAGTGAATTTTTTGCATTTTGTACCTGATTTCTCAAGAAACAATGGCAATGCAGCTTTATTAAATAAGTAGGTAGATCTTTTTGTTCAGAAGCAGTTGAAATTATGAACATAATAAACTAGGTATGCGTATGTCCTCTTTTGCTGGCCGGCGGGCAGACAGAAGGAGAAGCTCTCCTACATCATCAAAATTTCTACTAGATGATACTTAATGTGTAAAAGGATGCTGAAAAACTCACTTTCCTCCAAACTAGCACATGAAAGGATTGATTTTTACCTATGAAACTCATCATGTTTAGGAGGCCAAAGAACGTTCAAAGTACCTAATACTTCGCACGATTTAGCCAGTGACCAATCCCTTGGTTTTCTCATAGGTCATTTTCCCTTCTTGTGATGCTCCTTACCATTTTAAGATAGTTTCACGACACAACTTCGTGCCAGTGGTACTTTGAAAGTTGTGAATCAGTTGAAAATAATTCTTTGGGGCAATGCTATTGGCTGCAATCAAAGCAGCTGGCGAAAAATGAAAAAATGGATATGCTTGGCAGAAATTAAGAGCTTCTTCTTAGCTTCTTACCAAAATGCCACACTCACACTTAATGGCTATTCAACGGATATTTTGACGGTGAAACTATAAGACCATGTATCTCGGTTTGCGAAGTTGCAGACTTTCTGTCTGTTGAGGGCTGTTGAAGAAGCCAGGAAAGGGCAAAGGTTGAGTTCTGCTAAAAGACGCCATGATGGAACTGTATGGAACCATGATGGAACTGTACGACTGGGCTTACAGTGTTGCCAGTTATGACTACTATCAATACTGTCATACTTTATATTTTAAATCGAAAACTACTCAATGTTAATTCTTAAAAACTTCACTGTTTTTCCTCCTCTGTGCGAAGAAAACTCTGCAAAAATTTCAAAAAATTGTATTGATTTGATATTCCTCGAAAAAATAAATTGGGAGAGGAGATTTTTAAACACCGGAAACGAGGTACCTGATCTGTGGTAGTTTCACCGTCGATTTGCTGGTATTAGCCTATCAGGCTCTCACGTCAATCTCTATCTGCCCCAAATCATGTGTCATAGAATCATTAATAAGAGGGACATTTCATCAGTCCAGCTTTAGGCCTATGATATTTTTTGAACTGATTTTAAGATAACGACCTGGGGCCAATTAAACCAATCACTTTCAATAAAAGCCAAAAAATCTTCTATTCACATCAATTTTATTCGTTAACAACACCCCTACAAACTTACAATAAATTAGGAAAATTGAGTCGGCAAAAAATATCTACAATATTTACAAAACAGAGGGAGCACCCATTTTTTTTCACTTTGTTTCTGACAACTTCTTTTCCAGCAGTGAAAGGTTCCGATTTCGAGCTGCACGTTTTAGCAATTCTCTATCAATTTCCTCCTGTTCTTTGGATGGAAGATGTTTGGAGTACATCTCTTTCACCCAACCTTCAAAAAATTCTGGCTGGTTGAATGCGTAGAACGTTCCTACAGGAAACATTATGTATGTGAACATGCGGAAGATTTCCAGTTGCCATTTCCAGTCTTTGGTCATTTCCACAGGCTGTTTTCAAATAAATTTTGGGCTTCTCTGCAACAAAAACATAGAATTGCTTGATTAGTTTCTAAAATATTTGAAAGGTTGTAAATTAAAAACCTGAATTTTCTTAAATTCTTATCTGAATTATGTGCAGGTAGGTGCTGCTCTTCTGCACATTTTGACAAAAAGGCAACTTAATGTTTCTCTCTCGACATGGCCACATTATAATATAGGGTGGGTCAAATAAAATATACATTTTTTAAGGCATCCAGAAATTCGAATGGGTGTCAGTTTTTTGATGTCCCTGATCGAGTTCAAAAACAAGGATTTTTTAACTTTGACCATTAATACGTAGGAAGAAAATCAAGAGCAAAGTTTGTCACAGAAAGTAAGTATATTGCGTAAATTAGGTACTTAGGTCAAAAACTCAGCAGGTTTTGAATTATAAGTCCCTACGCTTGAGTCTAAATAATCATTTTAACCCAAAAAATTGGCAAAAAACAGAGAAATGAAAGCAGAATAGTATTAGGAAAAAAATCTTACATGCGATACAGAAATCGATAATTGTGTCGAATGCAAGGGTTTTTTCCTAACACTATTCAGGAATTTTGCAAATTTTTTGGTTTGAAATGATTATTCAGACTTAGGCGCGGGGGCAAACCTATTTTTTTTGCTAATAATTCGGAATCTGCTGAGGTTTTGAACCTGAGGCCTTGTCTCCACAAGCCGTTTCACGAGATTTGTCCCAGGGAAAAATCCCACTTACGAAGTTGGGAAAAATATTGAGTTAATCAATATTTTTCCCAGTACCAAGTATGGTACTTGTACCCCTAGGACCCACTGAGAGAAGAAGAAGAAGTGAAAACGAATTGTGTGATATTTTATTCATTACTACATTGTTAATGTTTGTTTAGTTAAAATAATGTGTCTAATTGTCAATTGAGTGCAATTATTATTTTAATCCCGGTTAAACACTCAACTTTAACCAATTTATCTTCCCGCGAAAACTAGTCGCAGGACTGTATGAGCCCCGTCCCGTGGAGACGGTAACTGGGAAAAATCCCAGAAGTTTCATTCCTGCGATTCGAACTTGGGACAAATCCCATGAAAACGTCCCGTGGAGACAAGGCCTAATCGATGCCATAGAATAAAGAGACTAACGTCAACAGAAGCGAAAGCCCCCGCCATTTTCATGTCAACGAAGCATACCGAAAGGAGGCTGTTTCAATAAGTACTGTTTACGTTTGCGGTTTTGGAGAGGTCGAATAATAACGGATACATACGTTTTAAGGAATTGTAAGAGTTTTCTTTTAACTTATTTATCGTTAAACCGAAGAAGTACTGTAAATTCGCTTAAAATTTAATGTTTTTTTCCACTTTTATATTTGTAGGTAACCTCGAAATTGGTTTCAATCTGCGCAGAAAAATGTTAACATTGGTTCTTACGGAGCTTTCGCTTCTGTTGACGTAGTCTATTTATTCTATGTCGATGCAATATATCAGAAATTCGACCGCGTCGAAGAGCTTGACTAATCACCTGAGGGAATTTTTACTCACAAATAGATAGTAGAGGCATGAGCATGATGTGGAGATTCAACTTTGAATTTCGCCAAGAAACAAAAATATTGTGATGAGAGGTAAAAATGAAGACCCAACCGTAGACATAACCTCAAAGGAGGTGATAAGAGCTTGATTAGTGAATCTTAAGCAACTGCAATTACGTCTGATCATATTTCGGTACGAATACAATAATCGAATATACTTACTTACAATCTGTTGGGATCTGTTTTAAAGAGAAGAACAGCAACTGAGTGGCATTACAGAAGTAATTGCAGAGGTACTGATTGCACCTGGAGACACAACATGAGCGACCAATGGTTGTAAACAAAGCTATATCACTAGATAATAGATATCAGTGATATCACCAGGGATATCTCACCATCTCACCATCACACATCACACCACCACACGACTACACCGTGGACCTCTGACGTGAGGTTAGGGGTTAGGAGGTCATTCTTCCTCTAGTGTTCGAGTGTGATAAGAAGAGGCCGTGTTTTTCATCGTTGGCAAATTTGCTGAAGTTAGGTTTCCGGTCGATCAGCTGATCAAACTCAGTAATTGCAATATAGTTCCTAAATTTAATGAAATATTCGTAGGTGTAACGCTACAAAATCACGTTTTCACGCCCTTGAAAGTCGAGTTGAAGCGTTGGCAATCTCGATCGTTCGGTTTTTCGTCGTGTTTCAAATCAGTTGTGAGTTGACTGGCAACTCAGATCGTCGGCTCCTGATGATCGGATCATCTAACCTCAAGTAGTCAAAATGTCAGTTCCTGAATCCAAAATAATATCAGCCATCGAGCATTACCAGAAAAGCATCCGCAAACATGAGCATAACAAAGAGAAAGTAAGTGCTACACATTTCCACTTCAACTATTTATATAGGTTTTCAATTTTCTCAGCGTCTTCATCTTCGAGGATGATGATGCAGGATGTCCCTCGGTTGGGCTTGGAGCAGTATTTGCTCTTGTCTCGTTTTAGCCTTCTTCTTTCTTATCAAGTATTTATCAAGTGTAGGAGGAAGAAGTAAACACTGTCCTTTATATTCCGTCCTGAATAATTGAACGTGAGGGACTCTGCTTTGACGCTTTCACCACAGTGTCCTTTACACAGCCTTGCACTTCTGTTGACATGTCCCCATCGAATCCTCACTTTCATTTCCAAAATTTTCATGCTCCGACTTGAAACGCAATACTGACATCCTGTGTCAACAGTACCCCTATCAACCAAATCTTCTAACCTCGTTTATATTAGTTTTTGGATCAGGTATTTGCTACTTCACCATATGGTTATCTGGGAGTCTAACTTTCACAAGTACAGTTAAGAAAGGTCTGAAAATGAAGATACTCATTTCTCCTATCCTAGGCTTTTTTATCATGTCTGGAGCACCAAATACTAATATTCCTATGCTTAAGTCTTCTTTGCTGTACTTCGTAACCTGATACATATTTCTTACCTAGTGCATCTACTAGCTTGTTCTTTTACAAATAACTCCACACATAAGTATGCTCAATTGCAGTTTCCTAAGTAACTTCTGTTCTTAGGGATTTCTCCTTTAATTATACTATTCCTATATGAAGTAAAATCTGTGCCCTCATTTTGCGAGACAAGAGACCTCTTGAATGCCCCATTTAGTCTCATCCATTATTGGAGTTGTCAACCTAGGTATAACGTAGTCTCTTTTAGGTATTCCTTTCTGCTGGCTGCTTTTTTTTTATTGTTGTATACTTATTCCATGCCAACTAATATAATTTTCATCATAGAAATCACTTTGTTTTTAATTGAATACTCATTAGTGTTATCAACTTGGAGTTTAAGTTCTAAATGTAATTGATGCATCAGTTTATTTCTCTCACGATCATTCTCCAGGAATATCCGTTTCAGTGTCCATTGCCATCCTGTAAAGTTTGTTTGTCTGACATCTTACTTAAACTTTGGCCATCTTTTAAAAAAACTTGAAATCAGTTAATTTCAATGCATTGCGCCTGCAGGAAAATTTGGCAATTAAGGTTCAGAAACTTATCAGTCTTAAAAATATATTGAATACCAAGTTGCATACATTTAGTGGCATGCACTGGAATCTTGTTTTTCATTCTATATGTTAATTGGATGCCCTTTGAGCCCTTAGGTAAGACGAAAAAGGTGAGACCTTACAATCAGTGTTCGAAACTCATAGGTGCCAACGCGCCAAATGCCCCTTAGAAATTGTTCATGGCGCCAACGCGGCAATGGAGAATTTGCACGCAATTTTTTTATTACTTCATCTGAAAGTGCCTAATGAGCTGAGTTCGCAATATTTTTCATAATTTTTTTCTGACACGGGAAATTGGAGAAAAATTGATTTAAAAGTGAGAAAATGTGCCGCCTTGTGACGTCATCTGGCGGCATTTCCCATTTAAACACATGTATTTTAGCAGAATCGGTTATTTTGTCATATCTCCTCTAATAATTGCTCGATTTATGAATCAAGGGTATCTTCGTGTTCAGTTCACTCAGAGGATTCCACTTAAACAGGAAATTCATCAAATTTCAGACCCTTGCAAATTCTCCATTGCACCGAAGAAATCGGTCATGACGCCTAAAAAATGAAGGTTCTGCGCCAACGTGGCCTCTAAAAATTGCCCCCCCCCCTCCAAAAAAAATCCTAATTTTTCTGTTTCGTTATTTTTGGAGCTTTTCTCTTCCCCAAGTTACAGCTACTAGTTCTGTAACTAAAACATCTTGCATTGAACTTTTCACAAAATGCACCGTGATATGTGGGCAAAAAGTCAATTTGGCCCCTAAAAATCGAGCTTGATGGGCCACATGGCTCCTGAAACTCAAAGGTGAGTTTCAAACACTGCTTGCAATACAATGCCTTTTACAGTTTTACAAAATTTGATATATCAATGCTCAATGGCTTTAATGTAATCAACTGAACTCAAATTCTGGGTTTTGACTCCTTCAAATGTGTGAGAGAAACACAGGAAGCCAACTACCTTTTCTCTATCTATTTTAGTAACATATGAGTTTTCTAAATCATCATTTCTTTTTTCAGTTGTTGTATTACTTGGGCAAACTTGCAAAATTTCCGATGACTGTTTCCATCCTACAGAAAACCATGGTTGGACTGCAGATAAACGCTCTACGAAAATATGATGGTGATGTTGGAAATGCTGCTAAAGTTCTAGTCACAAAATGGAAAGATGTTGTTCGGAAGGAAAGTGAAGGGGACTACTCTGATGAAGAAGGTGAGGAGGAAAAAGAAGACACAGGTAATCGCAATAATCACTCAGATGATAGTGGCGTTGACAACGATGTTGAGGATGGAGATAGGGACTCAGACGAAAAGTCAGCTGATCAATTTTTGGACACCAAACCAGCCAATGACAAAAATGATGCAAAAAATTGCAAAAGGCTGAAAGAAGAAAACAGACACTCATCAAGTCATAAGAGTAAACACAGTGACAAACATAAAAATCATGATTCTGTGAGATCAAGCCGAGACAGCTCCTCCAAAAAGTCAAGTCACGATTCGAGAAAATCTCGACAAGAAAGCAACTCCAGCCGTGACTCTGATCACAAAAAGTCAAAGCATGAGAACAAGAAGAGGAAATATTCAAGTGAATCTCAGTCTGATTTGGACCAAAACGACTCTGACTCATCTCAGTCAACAAGGAGCAGCAAAAAGCGTAAGATAGAATCCTCTGGTGACGGTTCCGAATCGGATTCTAGCACTAGTGATTCGGACAATAAAAAGTCTAGAGATAAGCGAGAAAAAAATAATTCTGCCCACCATCATCACTCTTCTAAACATAGAGACTCCTCGCATAAGAAGACTGATGAAAAAAAAGTGTCAAAGAGCACAACTAAAACTAGTCATAGCAGTGAACGACGGAAAGAGAAAGAAAGTGACAGATCTTCCAAGAAGGACAAACCATCTAAAGAAATCCATGAGCATCACAAAAGTAAGTCAGTAAAGACAGAAGTAAAGGTTAAATTAGAAAAGGATGACTCCAAGACCTCCAGAAGTGAAAAGGAATCGTCCAAATCTCAAACCCCTGTGAAAGTGAAACAAGAAAAGGATTCCATGGCAGGTAAGTTCTTCATTAGCAGCTAAGCAGTTCCTCCTTGTAGATATAGGTGAGAGTTTTATTGAGGAATGACACCCAGTATCTGTGAGTGTCCGTCTCATTTTGTTTAGTCACTCTCAAGTCCATTAGTTTTTTGTTGATTCAACTTTTTTATTCTGAAGATTGTAAGTTTTAAGGACACCCAAAATGAATATACTTAAAGCAGAACTTTAGCTAGGTTTATTATCTCTCTAAATAGCTGCCTTTCATAATACCTGTGTGCCAGAGCCCTTTGTCATTGAAATTTTGAGTGCAAGTAACACTAATGTCAATATACACTCTCTCTTCACTACCATGTGCCTAATTACTCGCAGGGTTGTTCAAAAATGAGTTTTTCAAGTATCTTGTTTTTCAAAAAGTTTTCTATGTCAAAGGGTCTTGAAGAGACCCTTGAAATTTCAAACTGCCACATGAAGTCAAAGAAAAAAAGCCTGTTGAAATTTCAAGGGTGATCTCAGGTTGGAGCAATCAAAAACTAATTGCAAAACCTTAAACTCTTCAAATAAAAACGGAAATTTATTCACCTTCCTTGTTCCATAATATCAAAAATCACATAGAAAAATGTTGCAAAACTGAAATTTATGTTTCAAGCAAGTTCAATGTGCTTGTCTCTCTTTTTCTAGCCTGCCCAAGGTATGATTTTCCTGGTGTTTAAACTATCAGTTTTTGTACCTTTTATTGCAGTAAACAGTTTTGAGGCAGCTTTGATGGGATTCTCATCCCCAACAGAGCAACCTAAAATAAAAGTGAAATCGAAATCGTCGTCGTCTAGCAAAAGTGGGTCTTCATCTTCAGAGAAGAAAGGTTCTCATTCCTCAGAGTCCAAACCTTCAAAAGTTTTAAGCTCACCTTCTGCATCTCTTGCCGAGGTAACTATTCTCTAAAATACCAGTAGCTCTGAGTAGAATAGTTGTAACTACATTTGTTCTGAAATAACTGCCCGATGGCTTCATTGCTTTCCATGTAGGTACCTCATAATATTTGAATTTTTACCTTTCGCGACAGATGCTATTACCAAATTATTTCCCACACATACTTAGAGCTCCTTGTAAGCATATTGATAATGAAAATAAACTGATTTTACTTACTGATAAGCTGAAAAATAGGTGTACAAATTTGCATTCTCTATTCATGTTAGATCCGGATAAGGAACCATAAAACAAGGAAAAATCATGGGTCATAGATTACAAATCTATTAGTCGTTTGAACTCTTGTTTTTATATATTTACATTAGCAGCCCCACAGTGCATCCCAAAATTGAACCTCTATTAACACTGATAGTAGAATCTGACGTTATTAGTATGATGCTGTGCTGAGCCAACATGTTTCGTGTTCCCAGTGAAGGAATGTGCAGCCTTCTTTTAATTCTAATCTACTTGATAAGTGTCAATCTAACATTTTTATTTTTTTATCGTAATTAATTGCTTTTTTCAGAAATTTACTTTGTCTGCAGCCTGATTGTTGAAGTTTTTTGTTCGTCGGGACGACAAAGATGACATAGGTTAAAAGGCGGAGCGGGATTAATAATAAAGATAATTTATAAGACATAGCCGACCAATCACGCTCCGCCTTTTAACCTATCTCATCTATGTCGTCCCAACAAATAAAAAATGTCAACCAGGTATCAGGCTGCTGTGGTTGTCAAGTTTGTTTTTAATTTGTTCTAACCACAATTATATGTGTACTCTTTCAGGTAGATCTGTTTCCTGAGGTTAAATCTGACTTAGATATAGACATTACATCATCCTTACCGGAATTAGCAGATGTCTATAGGCCTTTGCCACATTTGGAGAACAAGCGAGAAAGACCAAAACTCATGTCAGAGGATGAAGCTTTAGCCTCTATTATGACAACAAAGAATCAAAGGTAACTTAGCTGGGTTCAAGAAACTTATTTCTACTAATGCTACCCTTCGAAATGCTGATAGTAAATTGGAGAAATTCAAAGTAATAAACACTGTTCTTTCCACAGAAATACCTCAATTATCTAGTGAACTGTGACAAGCCTCATGCTAGATAATTGAATATACGCAGGGCACAACAACTAGAAACATCAACAAATGCATGATGCTACATTAAGAACATAGTTATCTGTTCTTAAGATAAAATGCAATGAATAAAAAACAAATGAGTATACAAGGCTAAAAAACAGAATATAAACGCAACCAGGACGCTTCGGGCCATTTCCGTGCCCACTCTAAACTGGAACAAAAGCTAAAAATTTGAACAATTGAAAGAAGAATATTGTTTAAAATCTTGTTTTAATTTTTCAAACTTTTAGCTTTTGTTTTAGTTGAGAATGGGTATGTAATTGGCCGGAAACGTTCTGGTTTTGTTTATCTTCTGTTTTTTAGCCTTGTATACCTAAATTTTATTTATTTATTGTATTTTAATGTTCTAATTCAAGCTATTGAGTTGCTTTCCTCTCTTATCACTTTGTTCAAAGTCTTTATCTATCAGCATCAGCGCGCTAGCCTGGTAGCGGTTGCCAAGTATCTTTTCAAGAGATAAATATTGGCGTGTCAGCGGTGCTTCATCACCAGATAATGGAGGTATAACTCTATTTTAGTGTGTAGCTTCAAGCAAGTATCCGCGCTTTTCTGAGTTCAACCCTGCTTATGACTCTGTAAAATTACCTGCAGTACAATTTCTGTAGAGGTAAAGCAATGTAATCTTCAATCATACAGGCCCTCAAGCTATAAATCATTCAAAATTCTCGATGTTTGCCGAGCTTCAGATGAATCATTCTTAACATAATCTCCCCCCCCCCCCTATAGCCTACAACAGATTTTAATATTTTTTAATGTAATCAGGTATGCCTGGAAATGTCCGCATTAGCTCCTGTGTAAAACATCAAAAAGCTCTTAGGTTTCGTAATATTTTCAGTCACCCATGTAGACAAGTTTTGAGGCAGCACTGCACATTAGCTGTAGAAATTTCAAATGCAAGCATCTCTCATAGGAGCAGCCATTGCTATATCACACTGATGACGGTTGTGGGAGGGACGGGATGTAATCTTGCCGAAAATTTTATCCCACCAAGCGTTTCTGGGACCTGTGACAGCTTTGCATGTAATACTAAAAATTTTGGGTTTAGACCAGTCAGATCGCATGACTTTTCTTCTGTGAGTATAATGAACTTTCATTCACGCAGCAAATTCGTTTAATGTTTCAGGACCAAAGTTTACTCTGGTAATAAGGCATCGTACACGAAGGTCCCTTCATTATTCGAGCTGTGCACCCGAGTTTTAATCGATAATATTGACCGTAAGTATCAATTTTTGAACCTTGCTCTGTGGTTGCATTCTAAAGACATTGAATTACGTAGACTGTGCATCAGGCTCAGTTCAGTACAGGGGAGGCATGACAAGTTTCTCGTAACTCCATGATGGGAGGGCAGGGAATGGGAGAGAGTATGTGTCCCAAGCACTCTAAGAGACTGCAGAGAAGCGATGGAAAATTCATTCGCAGGCTCGATTTTTCGTGAATAACTCGTTCTGAATCCATTTTCAGACAAAATTTCTAGAACAGAAGTTGTAGAGCATATAATTTTACAACCAAATTGCAAAGTTTCACCTCTTCAAACTAATTGCCAACCGAGAAAAAAGCCTCAAAATCCAACAAAAATTTATGTGGGGCCGCTACTATGCATGCGCAGGGGGACACACAAACTCACCGATGCAAGGTCGGCGATCTACCCTCATCGACGAATTTTTAAAATTTGTCATGCCTTCCGTAACACAGGATGCACAGTCTACAGGCTTCAATGATTTTGCTACTTTCAAAGTTTCTGTCCAGCCACAGAGCAGACTGGAAATCGCACAAATTTTACAACACTATGACTGTAAAGGTTCCCCTTTGCTAAACTTGATACCTATGCTGTTTAAGAAAAATATAAAAACACTAGGTAAAAGTCTGGAGAAGAATTCGTGTAATCTTGGATTTTGAGCAATGAACTGGGAGACATTAGTTCATCTTTTCTGTGAGGAAGTTCTTGCATGCCGAAAAAAAAAAAAAAAAAAAAAAAAAAAAAAAAAAAAAATTGTCTTAAATTTTTAAAAATGTCCTCTTTTGATTTTGAAAATATTAACCAACTTTTTCATTCAATTTTTAAACTTATGAAATCGTGGAAATTCGTTATTTTTTGGGTGCTAACACTTTTTTATTCAATTTTTCTTATTTGCTGTCTGCTAACAGCTACCTGAATAGCTTTGACCGAGAAATCACTTTCTAATGGACTTTTAGTCGGAGCAAAGAGACTCTTAGTTCCCATGTTTTCTTGATTTGTTGCCTTTCTCAATAGGGTAACACACTACAAAATTAATAATATATTTATTTTCAGTGTTGGAATATACCGGTGGAGTTCCTTATGACATCTTAAAACCAATAATAGAGAGGGCATCGCCTGAGCAACTATTTACTCTTGAGTTCCACAATGATTATTTGAAGGTCGATACTGATGTTCATTGGAAGTTCCACTGTCAGAGGGATTTCCGCGACAAAACTAGGAAGGAGGATGAAACATGGCGTGATTTTTATGTCGTGAGTTTGACTTAACTCTCAATTACCTATTTGAGTATCTTCTCAGATTTTAAGTTAATTTTACGATGCTAATGAAAACAATATTTTTTGCACAAGTTACAACATCACATCAATAAAATTGTGCTAAGTGGAGTAATGCCTGAAAAATTGCAGTAAATTATTCCTTCATTACAAATGCTGTACTTGCAAAATTTGAAATCTGAAAGTATTTTTCAGTTTTCTTTAAAAAAAAAAAAATAAATAAATAAATAATAAAACATGAGAGAAAATTAGGTAACATGTAAAGTAATTAGACTGGTTTCAGTAAAAGCCATCTGTTCTTCAGAGTAGTGTTGTTCAGTCCTAGAGAAATCTTAATAACTTTAAAATTTTTTTATGAGATCAAATTTAATAAAGCGCTAGACAGAGTGAGACATTTGAAATCACTACTTTACATGTTTACTCATCTAAATTTAGCATGGAATATGGTAGACACAACAGAAGTTTTTTATTTTAACTCATAATAAAGTAATTAGTGTTATCCTCTCAAATCAAATGCGGGCACAAAAGTAACTTTCAGTGCTGTAATAAAATAATGAATTATTTCTAAGAGGAAGACTATCAAGGATCAGAAGTAGAACAAAATTGAAGCGCTGGGTGCAGAAAGGATATTTCTTGGTTGTTGTGCCCGAAATCTCTGATAACGTTTCATCCATTATGATTAAAGCAAATTCATGTAATTTTGTTTAACTTTTTAGTGAAACCGTACTCAAACGATTTGCTAAACAGTAAAATTTTTGTTAATGGCTAGTTTAAACTACAGTGGTTTTGGCTTTTACGGTAGGGAGAAGGTTGAACTGAGTATGTAATTCTAATGTTAACTGAAAATGCTAATTTCTTTTCTGTGAGTTGATTTTCATTATAATGAGCGTGTTTCCAGTGATTTTTTAATGAGAACAAGGTATAATCATTGGGCATAGCATAGAAAAAGTACAAATACACTGAAAAAGCAGAGATTATAAGAGGTCAGTGTGGAAGTACGGAAACACACTGATTTTTTATTCAAAGGTATGAAAAATTGTGGTTAACTTGAAGAAAGAGCTTTAGAAGTATGTATGCGATATTTTGACAAGAAAGCATGAGCAGTAGTGCTTATATTTTTACCGTCTTTAGTGGTCTATATATTGCAGTGTATACTAATTATCAGATTCAACCCCTCACAGAGATCTTATCTTCTTTACAGCGCTGCATGGAAGAACGGCAACAGAAGTTAGAAAGGCTAACGAATAATATTACCCGATCCATTGCTGAATCAGCGCCTGTCAGGAAAACTAAATTAGCATATCTCGATACAGCTGTCAAACCACCTAGAAATGTAATGCGGAAACAGGTAATTAATGCAATATAATGATGACTGGAGGTTTGCCATCGGAAAGTATTAAAGCAGAGCCCAAGAATTGACTTAAAAAAATTATTGAACAATGATCAATCATTAGTACATAATGAACAATACATAATGAGCACTTATACATTATATATTTCACTGTATTTGCCATTTGAGGCACCTCATTTTACATTTTGTCGTCTTTCACACTAAAAAATGTACCTTGTCCTTGCCGTTCCAGTGTTTCTATGAAGATATCACTTTTTTGAGGGAGAAATTTTGCACACCTTAGTCTAAAAATTCTGGAGTTCTTTCTCACAAGGATAAAGAAAAATCATTAGAAATGTCAGGAAAATTCATGTGGCTTTTCTCTTACAAATTAATGAAGTGTAGGTAAGCAAGAAATACTGGGACAGTGCAATCGAGACCCGCTCCTTCATGTGGAAGGTAGCGACTCCTGAATGGACTGTTAAGAATAAATAATTCAAACTTATTATGTAGTGCCTATTGAAGTACTGCATTATTTTGTAGAGCTGTTAGTGTAGAATACTCTGTAACGCTTGAATTTCCGTAATACGTGTATAATAAGAAGAATAAGCAAAAATATTAAAACTTAAGGCTAAGTTTCAAGCACTTAGTAAAATTGTATGCCAAAAACAAAGTAATTGTGGTTTGAAAATTTTTAAAAAGGCATTGTACATTTGTGACCATGTGAAGTTTAAAATGAGTCTCTAAGCCAAGGCTCTCATTCTCTCAAATCAAGACCATATGATTCCATTAAAATATTAAAGATTGAAGTTTTTAAACTTGACTATTTGAGGCAAATGAAGAATTGTTAAATGAAATTCCTGCATAGTAAAACAGTGCATATATTCGGATAATTTTTATGTCCAGTAGCGCCTTTTCACTGTAGTTTTTACCATTTGAAGCAGAGAATGCGGTCGAAGAAAACTTAATCTGTTAGCGCTTTCTAACTGGAAATTTTTCATTCACATTTATGAAATATTGAATATTTATCTCTCAGGCTAAGCATGGAACTGGCTCTGGCAGTGCACCATCATCCTCCAAACATGACATCATCGCTAAGGCTGTGAAAGGCGAAGGTTCCAGTAGCAAATCAAGTGAGGCGCCTGTCAAAGTCTCATCTCCATCCATGCAAAGAGCTGCAAATTATGTAAATAATCTAAGTAAGTTAATTTGCTGTCTAGTTTTCCTTATCGTTTCCAGATATAAAAGTTGTGTAATCCCAAAATTGAATATTTTTATGAATGGAGTAGCCACTACTTGCCCGAAAATAATTCATATCAGCTTTTTTTACATAAAATAATATTATAGTCAGAGGTCAAGTGTGGGTAACGTTATAAAACTAGGACTGTACAAGCATGGTTTTTTGTTCGAGCGGAGTCTGAGTTTTTTTTTTTTTTTTTTCACTTTTTGAGCTAAATTTGAGCTTTGAAAATGAGTTTCAAGTCCAGTTTGATCAATTTTGAGCTTTTTGCAGAGTTACTTGTGATACCTACTAATTTTTTTCCTTCTTTTGCACAAAAATTTGTTTTCTGTTTTAGTTCCTTTTTTTCTTTTTTACTTTCTCTGCATCAGTAGAACATGATGTTGCTAAAAAAAGTTTGCTACAATGTGTAATTAAAATCTATAGCATTTTAAAATATTTTTCCCTGCACCCAGAGGTGTGTAAATAGTAAATTTTGAAAGCAAAGCTTTTACAAAACGAGAATGGTTCTGTTGTACCTCGGCAAATTTTAATTGTTATTTGGTTTTTACTCACAGTTAAAAAGAAGAAAGCACCACTGATGCAGAAAACACTACAGTTCATCAAAGGAAATCGTTTTAAGCGGTAATCTCTGAAAGAAAACTATTAGATTATTTTAAGTCATGGATCATCACTTTTGTCATGTTGTGGACTTACAGTGCCTCTAGTGGCTTCTCATCGGTCATTGAGGCAGCGGTAAATGTACTTTGTAAGTATAATTTTTTAAGTCGCAAGAGATTGCCAACTAATTGGATCTAAAATGAATCAATGTCTCATGTATGTTGATTATATTAATGATCCCAAAGACATTGAATCACGTAGACCGTGCGTCCGGCTCGGTTTAGTACGGGCGGAGCGAAGCAAGTTTCTCGGAGCCCCATGATGGGCGGGCGGGGAAGGGGAGAGAGCTTGTGTCCCAAGCACTCGAAGAGACTGCAGTGAGGCAATGGAGAATCCATTCCTGCGCTCGGTTTTTCACGAATATTTCGTTTAGAGTCCATTTTCAGACAAAATTCTTAGGAAAAAAAGTTTTAAACATGTAATTTTACAATTGAATAGCAATATTTCATTTTTCCGAACTATTTATCAACCAAGAAAAAAAGCCTCACAATCCAACAAAAATTCACTGGAGCCGCCATTGCGCATGCGCAGATGTGCGCAACTGGGACACACGAACTCATCGATGTGGATCGGTGCCACCACTCATCGGCATGTGAATTTTTAAAAGTTGTCTCGCCTTCCGTAACACGGGATGCACGGTCTACGTGATTCAATGTTTTTGAATGATCCACATGTACAGGTCGTTTGAGTCCTTTAAATTTTGTCTTTTTCACTGCAAGATGTTACCTGAAGTCTTTTTTATTAAGATCAGGACTTTGTGGAACGTAGTAAATTTCCACATGAGAACATAAATGTGCAAATCTTAGTGTTTCGGAACCATGGTTCACATGGTTGCATCTTAATTAAATTGTCTGATTTGGAAGGGGCACCAGTAGTTAATCTACCCATTAAAAAGTCAATTGGCCGCCCCTTTACAAGAATTTCAAATTTTTTAGTTCAGGAGAATGCTTTTAACCAAAAAATGTAAAGTATCAGGTTATTTCAAAATTTGCAGAAAATTTGTGTATAACAAGTCCCAATATATTTCAGAATCTGAAACAAGATGTCTAACAAGTAGTGTGATTGAAATGTGAAAATTGGAGGGAACCCAAACTCAATTTTTCACTCGAACCACATTTTGCTACAAGGAACTAATATTCGAGGCTCATTTTAGAAACAACATAATTACATATGTGCTATCAAACTTCCTATGCAGATAGGTGATTTTATGGAAATTAGTTGCTAATGGCAAACTGTAGTCCAATCATCACATTCTCTTCGCAAACTGCATAAATAAACGTATCTACCAACCAACCATACATACTTTAAAAGTTCTTGGGGTGTCTGGTTTGATGTCAAGTGAAGAAGTCATAGAATGTGGAGTATGTACCAAACTAAATCGTAATCGGTTCATTAATGATGATTCTAATGCCACAAGTTTTTTTATCCTTTCACTCCCCTTCAGTTTTTTTCCCTTATCTCTTTTTTTTACAATTACAGACTTATCCTAAGTTGAAAAATTTTTTCCCAGACCCCTGCAGATTGCAAATAACTGGATATCTGTCGTTTTGGCCTTGACTTGTTTTTAGCTTCTTTTTTGATAATCGTCTTAGATAAGAAGATAAGAGTCTCCCTGATTGCTTCTAGGCCGACAGAATTGGAAGTATTCGAGTAGTTTGCTCTTGATAGTGTGAAAATAGGTTATTATAATCAAGTGATTTTTATTCAAGGCTGTGTAAACCTTCAAAAGGTTTGAACTGGACTGCTGATCTTGATTTATTGCAAAATTGAGATTTCGGTGTCAGAAATTCCAAAATTTTTAATGCTATTCTTTACAGTACGATAGACACTTGCAGTTTTGAGCGAGTGCTTGTGATTTTTTACGAGCTTTTGCGGTTTGGCAGCTGTTTGCATGCCATCGCAGTTATTGCGGTCAGATTTTTTTATCTTTCAGGTACGTGTGAGCTCCTCTGGATTTTTTTTGGTCTTTTGTTGGTAATTATAGATTTTTAAGGGCTTTATGTTAATTTTTACCAAAGTTCTTCAGATACTTTTGAAGAGAATAGAACAAAATGGATTAAAACAAGACAGAACATGTCAAAACGGCACTCTGGCGAAAATTGGCGGTTTTTTTGGTTGTTTTTTTAGTGCATTTTGCTATCTTGCAGATGCAAACCATTACTTGAATCAATATATTCCAGTGTCAAAAGTATCAGTTTCATATGTATGGAACTTGAATTTATGACAAGACAAGGGTTATTCACCCTGGTTTTCATCACCATTAAATACCATAAATGTATTCAGCAAACCCTGCTTTTGCGGTCTATAACAATGCCTCGCCAAGTGTCTTAGGAGAGAAGAGAATAACTGCCCCCCTTTCAGAAACCTTCTCTGCTTTGAACAGTAGCTGATCTTTTCTGCACATAGGTACACCGTGTGGAAAGTGTTTCACATAAAAAAAGAAAGTAAATTATGGCATTTTTGCCATAACCTGCCGCTTATTGGCCAAATCTAAAATTTTACAGTTTGTGACCCTACATGCAATATACAGTTTGTCCCAACAAATGTTTCTTCATGATTTACTGCTCAACCTTACAATATGACTGTCTGCTCAACCTTCTACATTTCTCTCCAATATCCTCCCTCTCCCATGTACAACAATTGTTTTCACCTCCCCCCTCCCCCATGGTTATTATTTTGAATCATTGTGTAAATCATGATCTGGCAGGTATAAAAAGGAAGGTTAGAATCATTTTGATGTAATTAACAATTATCCATTTTCATATTTTCATGAATCCTGCCCCCTGAAAGAAGTATTCGTTTAACACCGCTGTACGAGATAGTGCTGGATGAGCACTACTTTGTCCTCTAATAGAATGAAGGATCTTCTCCTAAACTATTAAGGGCATATCCACAAGCAAATTTCCCAGAATCGAATGGTTGATCATAATTAATTAATTTTCAGATCTACTCTCTAACCTACCATACTTTTAAACAATGAAAGCTGCATGAAGTTGACATGCACAAGAAAATTTTGTCTGCTTTTCTATTAACCTTGTTTGTCTTATATTTTCTCTGTCATAAATGGGTTGAGAAAATAAGAGGTGCTTATTTCCAAAGAATGGTTCCTCGTACGAAAGTCATCCAGACTTGCACCAAAACTGCATCACACAGTTTTAAGGGAAAATTTTTGTCATTCTCTAATTGTACAATATGATAAGATATTTATTCGATACATTTTTATTTTTTTTATGTCTTTGTTAATGCGTTCAGCCTTTTTCTGTTGATTTTAATCATAAAATTTGAGTCAGTGTCACTCAATTTATGCGTTTCGTTTCTCAAATGTTTAGCACTTTAAATGTCCTTATAGCCCTGTAATTCCAAAGTAAATCAATGGACAGAGCTCTATATTTTTCAACTGACATGAATGTTTTTACACACAGCAACAACACTGGAGATTACTGAAACATTAGTAGCATGACTTCTCCAAAATACCAGTTAAATACCTTTTTGTTCTTAAACTTTTTTTCTTTTTCAAATGACTCAGAAGAATAAAAAGACATTACATTTTGTTTCTGAAAAACCTTCCAAATAACTGCCAGAAAGATGGAAATAATTTTTTTACCTTACTTTTGTTCTCTGTAGGAAAAGAATATCTTATATTTCCTCCCTACTTCATGTGGAAAATTCCTAATAGTAATGCCTTGAATCAGCCACAAACGTCACATTTCAGAACATATTGGAAAGACTTGGGCATCCTTACTTTTTCATAGCTTGAGGCCCTGGCATACCAAAGAGCAAGAACATAGGGTGACACTGAACCAAATTACTAAGATTTTGGCTGAACATTCTGTACAGTTTTGAAGAAGTATCTTGATAGAAAGTTTGTGAAAGATGTTGAAGAATGTTTAAAAACCGTTAGAAACTTAATTTGTGCTAAATCTTGACATTTAATGAAGTCAGTCATATCTTCCTCAAAACTGGATAGAACTTGGGGTATGAATGTCTGAAGGGCTCTCTAAAAATATGTAAACAAGTTTTGAGATTTTTAATGAGAGAATGATACATAAGAGTGCCGGCCTTTGACGATAGTTTAATCTGTGTTGAATTCTCTAGAGGGTATTGATTCGAATGACATGTCCAGGCGGAAAATCAAAACCTTAACTAATCGACAATTCTTAAAAAATTCCAGTATCAATTCGACCGACATGAATTGATCCAAAAATAAAAACGTGAACTGATCTCAAGTGACATGATCAACAACCATGAATCAATCGTCAAACTCATAAATAAATCAATTTTATTTATTGTTTCACATTTTTGTTTTCTGATCAATGCATGTCAAGCAAATCCGCACCCTCCAATTTTCTAGGATTAGACATCTTATTCATGAGCTATTTCCTTTCAGCTCGACAATATTCTTGAAGAAAGCAAGAGAAAATGACTCACTGGAAGTCACATTTTCTTGCGTATTCCTCAAAAAAACTTAGAGAAAATCTCACCGGATCTCTAAGGCATATTAGGAAGTAATAAAACCTAGTAGAATTTCTATTGTGGATGTTTGTTGCAAGAAAAATTCTGAAACTTCTCTAGTTTCAAAAAAAGACTGAGAAAGTAAATGAGGCAGAGCCAGAAAAAACTTGTGTTCAGTCAGCATTTAATGGAGGTATTCATGAATAGTTGAAAATGTTGATCAATCAGTGAGAGAAATTGAATGGTTTGCCTAGAAACCCACCCAACTTTTTCGCAACATTTCAGTACTTTTTTTTTTTTTTAAATTTTTTTTTTATTAACATCTTAATTTTCGAAGAGAATATGTATCAGCCAACAAGGTCATAACATTTTTTAATTGAGCAAGAAAAAGCATGGCTAAAAGTGAAAATAGCTCTACTAGACACTCAGAGAGTACTCCATGAAATGATTATGATGACAAGCAGGAACTCTTTCAATACAAACTTTAGAAATCATCATGAGATGATACTGTGCACTTTTATGATAGGCAATCGAAATTCTATAATTTAAGCCCAATATTTGTGGACATACATATGATTGAGCTTTACCACGTCAGTAACAATAGTGTGTGACGTAACGAATTAACAAAGTTATCTAACTTATTTCAATTGTTTTTGCCATTGCATTAAAAGGTAGGCATGGTGGAAACTCTAAGAGATCATGGTTTTCATGTTTCTTGCATTAACTATCTGCTCGAATCTTCATTTTTCCAACAACTTGGAAAGCTGTGGTTATTTTAAATGGTTCTCAGTCTACAGAATTGTTGTATTGCCTTGTTTTTGAGTTGTCAAGTACTAATCATGGAAATCAACTTTTGAACAAGCTCCATTTATTTTCCTTCACGCCAATTTTTCAGAACTTTGAGTGTTAAAGTGATGTAAAGCTTTATCTCTATACATTCATAGATAGCCACAAACTTCTTCTCCCCTTCTTTTTATTTTTAAGTCCGTTACTTTCTTTACCCTAACGATCAGTTTTATTCACATTTTCTCCATTACTGCATTATAATATGGGAAAATGCTATATTCCATACGATTGTCCCTTAAAAGGCAATCTGATTTCTGTTCTTATCTCGTAGTGCTCAAAAAAATATTCAAGGGAGTCTACAAGTCTCTCTTACTTAGCAATGGTTTTTAAATTTGTGATTTTTTATGTTTCTTCCGTTTTAAAGAAATCTGTGGCAATGAGCGATGAAAACTGACATTATTATATGCAGGAAAAAACTTTTCAGATTCAACTTTATCGTAATTAGACGACCATGAAACTCTGATGTATATCTGCTGTGTCCTTATCAGGATTGATTTAGATAATTTTATTTGATTTTATTGTTAATCAAGACATGTTGTAAATGTTTTAGTATAATTTCAACTATTTTACCATCTTTCCTCCCTGATTTTTATTTTTATCACATGATGAAATATATTCTTCTCGAATAATTATCCTTTTGTTCTTTCTCCTTTCATTTACCAATAAGACTCTCAATCTTTCAGTGTCTAGGTGAGGCTACTAAAAGTACTTATAGAGGCTATTTTGATCCACTTTTTCATCCAATCACACAATTTTCCTGGGCCACAACAGTTGTTTCAGTGGTAAAAGGAGGTGTGTAGATGTTTAAAAAATTAAGGTTGGAGGATTTCTTCACTCATATTTCAGGCTACTCATTCATTCTCTTTGAATACGTCCTAAAGGAAACTATTTATGGAATCAACTTCAGTCTAATGTGATTAACCACTGACTGTCTGGACTTTTTTATCATATAGTGATAGAGAATGACAAACAACAAAATAATCTGTAATAAGAACACAAAAGCAATTAAACAAATATAAATTTATTCAAAGACACAGTGATGATCAATATTGATAAAACTTTGACTAATTTTAAGTCAACCTATTTCACTAAGATTAGATAGGTACTTGTGAAATAAAAACTGCATTCCTAAAATAATAATACTCCGGTAAGAATTTAGAAAAAAAAACTGTATTCCAATTAGGGGGTATCCAGTTAGTCATAAGTCTTGACATTCATGCATCTAACTGGAGAAAAAAAAAATTACCCTTCTGGTTAATTAACTGGGTGGTTATCTTTGCCTAGCTCTGGAGACTGTTAGCGAAATTTCTACTGGTTGATAATGAAAATTTGGAAGTATCCTGATCACAAGTTTTAAGCGAAAATTCATATCAAATAGCTCATTACACTTTGACTCACATACTACTAGGACTGATGATATTTTTATGTCGGTATATTCAGAACATAGATAGCACTGCAATTTACATACAGGCTTGTGAAACAAAACAATGTGCGAGTGAAAGACCTTAAAGTTAGCAATCATTGGCAGATTCGTTAATTCATTTCATTAAAGAGTAGGATGCTAACAGTTTAAGATGATGGAACAAGACCGACTCGTGTTAATCAACTTCAGAAAATGTAGTCCGCATGTTTGAGTCCACAAAATTGGGTCTAGCGGGTTATATGCGGTCATTGTATGACCATTTTAGAGAATCATCAGCAAAAAAGCCGATTATTTAAAATACAGGGGCTCCTATGATTTCCCCATAAAATTCTATGGCACAAGGTGGCTAGACAATAAACTGGTGGCAGAGTGAGCTCCTTCAATTCTGCGACACTTACTTAAAATCTTACATCAAAGGATTACTGGAAATGGATTTCCTCAAGAAACCAAATCAAAATCATATTGAAAGGTAAAAATTCATCTGAGTGATCCATTGCTTAAGATTAAAGTTGCCTGCTTTATTAGTATCGCCAAAGAGTTTAAACCATTGCATGTTACATATTAGGCTGAGAAGACTTGCCCTTTTTTTTTGTACGATGACCTGTTTCAACTTCTAGCAGTGTTAATAACATAGGTACCAAAATTGTGAAAAAAAAAAAAAAAAAACCCTTGGGATCAAAAAACTTAAGTACAAGAATTGATGTTAATATGTCTGATGATTTGCTAACTTGCCAAAATATTTATTTAAGGCATCTTGTAACTGAAGCCTTCTGAGAAAAAAGAAAGATTTTGCAGGATAAAACTAAAGAAATCCTTGTTTTTTGAAAAGATCGTCCTCAGTGTCTAGAACACGCTATCACTAAAATTTTGGAAAAGTCTCCACCGAAATATTCAATCACCAGAGCTATGACATTCCGTAACTCTATGTTGATCAGCAATTGTTAAAGAAAGAAAACTCATTTCCATGAGTCGCATCTGTAATCTTGTCTTGAGAAATTTGTTGATGAGTTGCTGTGGATGAAGTCAAGAGTGACTTCTACAAACTGTGCTCTCAAAAGACAGTTGAAGAAAAAATGGCAATTTTTAGCCGAAGAAATGATTGACTTGGTCCTTTTTGGAGGACTGTCATTACAGATTTTGAAGGTTCCAAGGAATTGCTCAGCAATTTAAGGCTCATTTTTATTCTTTTCCCTGGCAACGCAGATAGCAAACATGGATTTTCAATTAACAGAGAGATAGCTGAGGTTAACTAATTGGACTGCATTTTGCAATTTGGAACTATGAATTCTGGCTCATCTAAAAAACCACTTATGTGCATAGGGAAACTAGTGGCACATACCTTGTTTTTAAACCGGGCCAGAGTTTATAGTTCTAAATTGCAAAATGCAGTCCAATTAGGACACTCCTTTGTTGGTCAAAGAATCGTGTATTAGCTATTAACTCATCGAGTATCGAGTACTCATCGAGCTGGAGGTGTTAATTTTAAGCAATTTAAGATTCTAAGAGGTATATTATCAGTGGACCTCAAAGAGGCACATTTAAGCACTCATATTATGCTGCTTTCATGTGATGAATGTCAATGATCAGCACAGTGTGAGGCAAAGAATAAAATATAGAATATATTTTAACATTATTGTCATATCCAGCGTGACGTAGTGAGGTGACTCATTGCACTACGTCGGGGGGAGCGCTCCCCTTCACTGACGTTCTATGTATTTCCGGCCGCCTGGCACCGGTAATAATAGAGCTCCCGTAAGGAGCTCAGTTGTGTTCATTCTTTTCAATAGATCACTTCTCCCTCAGATTCGGTAGTCTCTTTCCTTAGCATTCTTTGTTCCTTCACTGTCCCTGCAAACTGACGTTACGGGCCATAATAATTGGCGACGAGGCAATTGGACGTGAGTGTTTCTTTCCCTAACAAAAATAATTTTTTTTTGCTAGGTTACTCCGCTCCGCCCCTGCAACACCGAACTCTCGAGGTGTTCTAAGCTGACGCGTTAATCCGTCTCAAATTGCAAAAAGTCGATCGTTACCATGGATATACAGACCCTCACCACCTAGCCTGACATCCAGCCTAGACAATTCCTGCAGCCACCCCAACTGGGACAAAAGAACTCTCTGGGACAGCAAGCAGCCTGGGAAGACTTCAAATTCACTAAGCCAGAGGGATAGAAGACATCATACCCCCCACCCCTCCTTTCTCGTCAGCGGTGTCCCTCAGACACCGCTAAAGTCTCCTTTTTCATTACCCTCCCGGTCATTTCACCCCCACATTTCAGTTTTTGTTTTTCGGGGACCCACACGCAATTCGTCAGTGTGGGAGCAGGTCATATCCGGCGTGACGTAGTGAGGTGACTCATTGGGCTACGTCGGAAGGAGCGCTCCCCTTCACTGACGTTCTATGTATTTCTGGCCACCTGGCGCCGGCAATGATAGAGCTCCCGTAAGGAGCTCAGTTGTGTTCATTCTTTTCGATAAATCACTTCTCCCTCAGATTCGGTAGTCTCTTTCTTTAACATTCTTTGTTCCTTCACTGTCCCCGCAAACTGACGTTACGGGTCATGATAATTATCCTCATCTTTCCTTTTGGGATGATGGAACGACAGACTCAATTAACGGCTGAACCAACAACTTATGACTATTACCAGTGGATGGCCTGACAGGGATTGTAACAATCCTTTTATCAAAGCACCAAATCAACAACTTTTGAGTATTACCAGTGGATGTCCAAAGTGGGATTTTAAGGGTCCTATCATCAAGTAGAAACAGAACTACCACATTCAGGTTATTTCTATGATGGAGCAATAAAAATGTTACTTCATTAGATCATTACTTAGATTGAACAAGGAAGTTTACACAAGCTGGTTCATATGGGGGTGAGCCCCTGAGAGCAGGATCCGGACCCATGAGTTCAGAACTATTGGACTGTCAAATGACAAGGACTTGAAGGAGCTTGCTCAAAAACTGAGTCCCTTCCTGAAAACCCTCCTGTCACCTGCCCTGTTATCAACTCCACCAAACTGCCTCCGTGAGGCATCAAATAATATCTACCACCACCTGTTGCAGGGGTTTCCACAAAATGCTGCTACCGGTTGGCAGCTGCAACACATGTGCCTGTGTGTCCAGCCTACATTCATTGTTCATTCTATGTTCTTAGACGAAAGATTTTGCGGATGTCTTTTGTGATACTTCAGTTTAATAAAGCTTATTCTTTTTCCCTTCACTTAGAGTAATCATTTCGACAGCATCCAACATGGTGACGAAGAAAATACTAATTTAATTCTTCCTTTCAACTAACTGTATGTAATGTAAATCTCAGCTTTCACTTTCCAAGTGAGTAATAGCATCCGCTTCCAGCCAATTCAACCTGCCGAAACCTGTGTGGACTTGCAGTTACCTTTCCTGACCAATCAATGGACAAAGTTTATAAGAAACTCCAATACGTTCATTTTGGCTACCCGCCAAAGTAAATCTAAACCTAATGTGCATGCTGCGCAGCTATTAAATGTAATTGGCAATGAAGCCCAAGACGCAATTTACACTTTGGGTTTTAAGATCTTGCTGATCCTGATGAAATAATAGCAGCTTTCGATAAGTTTATGCGCCCGAAAGACAATAAATTATTTAATAGATTTCTTTTTTGATTCCAGAGATCAAAATGAGGTGGAAACATTTTATCATTTCCTACATAAAATGAGCAAAAAAATCTGCAAATGTCGTAGAGTTAAATTAGCTTAAGAACGTAACAGGATGAAGAATATCTGGACGTGAGGTAATAGCTAAGTAAAGTAAACTACCTATCAACTGTTGATATGGTTTCTCTAGATCTGGGCGTACCGGAATATCTTCGTCAAATTTTGTATCAATAAGAGGAGTTGAAACTGGCTTACAATTTAACAGAAAACCAACGCAACAACACTGGACTTGTGCTCAACGTATTTTAAGATACTTAAAAGGTACTTCTAATCTGTCTTTAACTTATAAAAAGTCAGATTATGATCTTATTGGTTACTCAGACTCTGATTGGGCCAATAATTGTCTTCAAAGGAAATCCTTCTCTGGTAATGTTTTCACTTATAGCGACTGTGCAATTTCGTGGGAATGTCAAAAACAGAAAACCACATCACTCTCAAGTACAGAAGCTGAATACATTGCAATAACTTTAGCTGCTAAAGAGGCAATTCATTTAAAATTTCTCCTTCATGAGTTAATTAACAGAAAAGATTCTGCACTTATTTTCACTGATAATCAAAATGCAAAGAGAATAGCAGAAAACCCTGTTCAACAAAATAGAATAAAACACATAGATGTGCGTTACTGGTTCTTACGAAATGATGTTAAAAATAATGATATCACTGTAGAATATCTCCCTACTTCAGTTATGCCTGCTGATTTTCTAACTAAGCCTGTTCCAGCCCCCAAACAGAAATTCTGTTCTCAAAAAATTGGTCTCCGCTAATTTCTTTTGCTATTTGCTATAATATCTCTGTTGTTTAAATTTTTCTGGTCATTATGTTTCACTTAAACAATTGCATATCAAGGGGAAATCTTTTTCAACCTTCTTGTTAAAGCATAACATGCAATTATTTTGTCGAAACATTCAAGTTAAATTGTCACTTTAGTCGTTAATTGAATTGTTAATATTTTTTTAACAATTAGATTGAGGGGAAGTGTTGGTGTTCCACCCCTAATAATATTTTCAATCTAATGTTAATGCTGTAAACTTGTCAACCTTGCACTTCATATTAGCATGCGTGCGCATCTGTTGCTCCCAGCTGTCTTTTGTTTTTTTGAGGTTTTATTACATAATAAAAGTAAGAGGCTTAAGCCATGTCACCTACTAAAGCTCTTCTTCTCTTTTCTTGTCTTTCCACCGCTGTGCATTAATTTAACTCGACGACAGCAAAGATGAAAGTTTGGAAATCGTACGTGAAGCTCAGGGCCAAACGGGTACCACCAGGTACAACATCGCCGCACCACGCAAACTCTTAAAGCCAATATTAAATTTTTAACTGTGTTTTAAACCATCGTCACTTCAGTGTCATGACAATCCTTTTAAAGTGTGATTTTAAATTATTATTTTTTTTTACTATGTTGGTGGCCTGAAGGCCTAGAAGCAAAAACTGTCAATATTAAGTTTATTCTGGTGATCCGGTTTCATTTTGTAATCAGTATGTCCTCAAATCTAAAAGTAAAACCTTCTCCGAGCTTACCATTGGATCAGCATTTGGAAACTTATTAAAAATGATTCAAATCTCGACTTGAACATTATTCCGTCGCAATCAAGTTAGCGAAACAGGATAAAGCGGTTCAAGTGGCAGTCATCCTTAACCTATTTAGTGATGAACATAGCACAGGTGGGCGACCTGTGTGGTCCAGACACAGACTGATTTTCCTCAGCTGCCCTGACATCTATCAGAAAGAGAGGTGGCTGGCGCCAAGACAGGTGACAAAGGCTGCCAACCACACATAGATAATTTAAAATTGCCCAAAAATTCTCAAAATGATGAAGGACAAAAAGGCTCTCTCGAAAAGATTGCTTGACAAATATTGTAGCTAGAGTTCACGCCAAATAATACTTTTAGATTGCAACAAAAGATACTTTACATATATGTATAAAAGTGGTGTCAGACGATCTTCGGTCACAGTCTAGAAGCTCGTAAAATTATTTGGCGTAGACTAGTGAGTTTGAGCTTTCAAATGTTTGACTACAAATATAAATGTATTAATGACATTCCCTTTCTTTGTTACAATGATTTAAGACTAAAAATATCTAGGTGCAGGTTTCAAACCAAACCAAAGGACCGAGTCTTTTGCAATGGGACAAAATTAACCCTCACAGGACTTATTCATCACTCATTGATTATTTATCTTCAATATGTATAGTTTGGTCACATCAGATGTTGTCTGTTTGAAATAGAAAATGTTATCAGACTTAGGCAATAGGATTGATAAAATCAGTTTTAGAAACATAAGAATATATGTTACGATACCAAGATATCAGGCTCTGCATTGAAGGCCAGTATTCACGGCGGGAAAAGGCTTGAACCTCATTTAAGTTTCCAATGATTACCTCCCATCGTAGAAAGATCTTCATCCACATTCTGGCTGAACAGTAAACAGGGATGCTATTAAGTCCTGCCTCTTTTCAAGCTGGCATCCAATAAAAATCTGAAATTAAAAAAAGACATCTTAATGTTAAGGAAGATTTTAAGAGGAGAGGAAAAGAGGTCGTATTCTGCTTTACTGAGAACAATATGCACAATCCTCATTCGTGGCGCTCTGAAGAATTGCATCAAATTTTTGGGGCTAATAAAGAATCATCTATGAGGCTTCATCATCTCTGTGCTATGAGGTTAGATTTTTGCTTGAACTCATTGCTAGGCATGCCATGGCAAGTCACATAACCAGACAAACTGCGGCATATGGATCACGACTTATAATTTTGCTTCCCCAAATACTCTGATGGGTTTCAATTTGTAAGAGTGTGTTATCATAAATTTTAACTTATTTCTACATAACTTCCCCTAATTTTTTTTTTTTTTTTTTTTTTTTTTTTGAAAATCTTTATTTTCAATTAATTTAACTGTGATTGAACCCTCGAATTTTCAAATTATGGTACAGGTCAGAATAATTAGAATCTTTTTCGATAGAGCATTCATTTTCAATAACTAATGTTAGAACAAAACTAATTTATAAAAAAATTAGTAAATTACACAGAATGATTTGTTTCGATTTTCCCCCTCTTTAAAAAAATATAGAATAAATGAGTCATACATAAGTTGGAATTGGTAAAAAAGATATGCACAGAAAACACACTTTATCACCCACCCTTAGCTCGGCTATGGTTGGACAGCTATGACACACAATGGTCATCTGACAAAAATGTAAACATTTTCTCATATTCTTTTCAAACTGATAATCAAATCAATATTGCAGACATTATTAAAGGAACAAATTAGCAAGGTGCTATTAAGGAATTTTATGGTGGGGCTTTCTCTAGGGTTAAATCGCATGGGGAGTTATCGTTGGGGTTTTTAATTACTAAAGGACTGAAACAAGGGTGTTGTTTGTCGCCAACCTTATTTAAAGTGTACCTGGAAGAAGTTTTAAAGGAATGGAAAAGATGCTGTTCGGGAATGGGCGTCCCGCTACGTGAAGATGGCACCCTTTATACTCTGTGCTTTGCTGATGATCAGGTGGTAATAGCTCAGGACGAAGAAGATGCGAATTACATGACGCGGAAGCTAGTGGAAGTATACCGAAAGTGGGGAATGGAAGTAAATGTGGTTAAGACGGAGAAGTTGGTTATCGGTGGTGATCAGCAAAGCATTGAACTGGAGGATGGCCGGAAGATCCTGGACTGTGAAGAGTATAAATATCTAGGAGTTTGGTTAACTAAGGACGGAAATTTGGATCGGGCCATTAAAGATCGGAATGTGCAAGGCAGGAAAGCTATCGCGATGCTAAATGGGGTTCTCTGGGACCAGAGTATCTCCAAGGAGACCAAAAGGAAAATTTACAACGTCATCGTGAAGAGTATCGTAACTTACGGGAGTGAGGTCTGGCAACTTAAGAAAAGAACTGAAGACATGCTTAGGGCAACCGAGATGGACTTTTGGCGAAGGTCTGCTGGGATATCGAGAAGAGAGCGTATCCGCAATGAAAGGGTACGCGAGATAATGGGTGTGGAAAAGGACATCGTGCACGATATCAGGTCCAAGCAGTTGGTCTGGTATGGACATGTGCGAAGGATGGCAGATGATCGGTTGCCCAAGCAGGTCTTCGATTGGGTTCCTCCCGGAAGGCGACGGCGTGGACGTCCTGTGAAAGGTTGGCGACAAGGGGTGGAGGAGGAGATCAGAAGGTGCCAATTGCCTGATGATCTCTGGGAGGATAGGGGGCAATGGCGATTGGGCGTCGCAGAGCGCGAGGCGGCGCTATAATCGCGACTTTATGTATGTATGTATTAAAGGAACAAAATATTTTACAGTCTACCTGAATAATTGTAGAGAAGAAACATTGCAACACTGGGAAATATACTAAAATATTCTTAGTACATGTCGAGAAGTGATCCGTGTGTCATTAATCAGAGTGCACAAGAAAAACCTCACGATAGGCGCCATAATGCTCATGCAAAAAGTTAACTTGGCTCCTAAAGTTGGGCTTTCAGGCCAGAGTGGGACCTAAAATTTTAGGAGGAAGGCAGAACGCTGCTCACTACTTGTTGATAAGGCATCTCATTACTTTATTGTACGACAGACAATTTTCAAAGGGACAGTCTTGACCTGCCTTCGTCTGCTAGGCACTCAAAACAACTTGCTGCCATTTGCATCATTCAAATAGTTGATTTGGTTTTCTCCACTTATTTTTCTCTTTGCATCTATTGCACCTAAATAGTGTATTACCTAATTTTTATATGTATAATTCAAAAAAAAAAAAAAAATCTAAAAAATAGCACAAAAATTTTTCTATTTCTGAGAAGCCTTGTGTTGAAGATGACTTGTCATTTGTCATGAAGAGCACACATTTAGCCATCAAATTCAGCTCAAAAACAGAGCACATGAAAGGTTTGATTTCTCATTTTAAGGGACCTTTTCAACGATTCAAACCTGGGGCTTCTTTAATCCAAGAGAACATTTCACAATACTTCAGCAGAAAAAGAAGAAGAAGAAGGAAACAGATTAGAGCAGGATAAATCTCCAGACATACCTTGTAATACAGAGCGTTGAAAGAAAATCCAATTCGAATGCAGAGGCTGAAGTAAGGTAACTCCATGCTCAAAAGTGTGAAGATTAGGGTATAATTTTGAGCCCATGTATGAACCAAGCCACGGACAGACCTTCACCATATGAGTATTTGAACGCTACTAATTTGACTTTGAACATGAAAATAAATTAGGTATTAAAATAATATAATTTTTATAGTTTTTACCGTAAATTTTTTGGGTCAACACGGAAAACTAGACAAACAAATGTATGAATGTTAAAGCTAGGATCTGAAAATTTAGCAACAAATGAGTGCGTGCATGAAAATTTGAGAATTGGAATCTCTAAAAGTAGTTGAACAATAAACGAAAATAGGAGAAAAAAATATAGGAACATGGCTGATTTAAACCTTACAAACTAATTAAATTTGTGATTTGCCAACATTTTAAAATATGATACCTATGCTGCCATTCTTATGTGTTATTTTTTAAAGAAAGAAAAAAAAAAAAATCACTTAAGGTCCAACCCACAGTCCGATCTCTTCAATGTAAATGCATGAATAGTAAGTTGACAAAAATTCGAAGTTGATTGTTGAAAACACATAACTCCATTAACACTACTAATAAAACATGGTAAAACGAACCTGTCTCTTTCTTTCTTTAAATTTTTTATGGTTCTTGTATGTAAAGGTTCGACTAGACATGGTAAATTTTACATTAAACACATAACTTTTTTTTCTTTTTTACCTATGGCCATTTTTTCAATGACATACATTACAACTGAATCTGCTGACACTTCTGTATTTGAGGTTATTCCTTCAATACCAACAGGCATTTGATTTTCCTGGTATTTCAGCATGACATGTATACCAAGAAAGAAAAGCTTAAGAAAAACAATTATTGAACCTTACACAGGAGCCTAACTTGACACAGAATGACAATTGGTAAAGAATCAAGGACCAATATTATATATTAATAGTTTGAGATAATCTCCTGAGCTGATAAGTAATGTTACAATACAAGCAATGTTGCCTTCGAATGAGAAATCTACTTGATTTAACTGACTTTCTAAGTCAGGAAAGGTAAATACAATGAATATAGCATTTCTTTTCTACAAGGCAGAGCATACAAGATCATCTTCGGATTGCACATAATGGCTTCTTCTGGTAAAAATAGGACAATCGTTACACGTCATGTTTCATGAATTGTTGGCGATACTGAAATTGTTTTCAATTCTTATTTGGAAAATTTAACCAAAATTAATAAAACAATTCATATGAACCATTATAAACTAAGTTTGGGTGTACATCATATCATTGCAAACATGAAGAGTCTAAAAATAATAGCTCGAGAAAATCTCTATTGTTTTGAGGCATTGGTGGTTCCGAGTTCTTACTGCAATTTAATTATTTGTATGATATATTTTCCAAATACAAATAGGAAAAAATTTCATTTCGTAATTCTTGTGGAAGATCGGCTAAGGTTTTAGCAGTGGCATCGGGATCTTCTTTTCCTATAGATTTACTGTATATTTTCGACAGCTTTGGAAAGTCATCTAAAACTTTATAATATAATCTTGCTAAAACAGTCTTGTGATGTTCAATGGAATGGTCTGCTACATCCATTTCATTGAAGATGCGAGTAAGCTCCGTCTTATTGCGGTACGTACTTAAAATGAAATCTACGTCCGCAATGGACATGCCATAAGCGTAGTTATTGTTTTTCATAAATTCCTCTAAGATAAGTGATAATTTTAAAATTTTATCTCCATCAGCTGTGCGCATCACGATGTCTATAGTTCTTTTCATTTGAACATCTTTCGTTTTAATGTACAGGTCTCTGATTTGAGACACGATGTATAACACGTCTGGTCTTGAAAAACAACGATACAGTATAATGTTGTGTTTTCTAGATAAATCTTGCAATAAGATGATACTATATTCATCAGACTTGTCCCTAAATATCACATTAAAATTGAATACCATGGAATGAAGTCTGATGAATAGACTGGGTCCGGTCAACGATAGATTTCTCAATGCTGCTAAGGCTTCAATAGCTCTGTTCAACCATTCATCATAACTACCATAATCCATTTCATCATTTATTTCATTTCACTTAGTCTTCATGGTTAAACATTGTCATGGAAACTGTATGATAATTAGTTAATTAAAATTGTTTCACTATCCTCAAAACTATCCCACTACCTACCTAAAACTATTTTTGCTATGGGACTTTTCTCCCAAAATGATAAACTTGATAAAACAATAGTGAAATGCATTACTCATTGCCGGAGGCTGCCTCTATTAATAATGACTCTCATGAATTCTTTTTTACATTGATCCTGTTGCAATCAAGAAACGAAATTGAGGAATATTAGTTCTTACATAAATGCTGAGTAATAATTTAGATGAGTCTTGCTTTTTTAACCTGAGCTAAATTAATGCACAATATCTGAAATCTTAATTACGTGATGGTTCTTCAGTGTTAACTGTTTTGACCGAAGGAATGTACCCTTGACAATAATGTAACCAAAAAAGTCATTTTCTTCCATCCAGCTCCCAGAAATTTTTATCATACCTGCTCAAGCAGCACACCTCTCTGAAACAAAAGCATGACATAAAATTATGTGCATTCTACTTCTAGGTGAAATGAAACAAATAAAGTTGAGAAATGCTTTGAAAAAAGGTAAAAAATTTAACTTTCCTGATTAAAAATTTGGCATTAGAGTGCTTAAAATATTCTTTACACTGGCGACTATTTTTTTAAACTTATATTTCCCACTGAATACATCTCTTTTTTCTAAAAGAAAAATAAAAAAAAAATTTGCTGTATGCTGCATGCCCAAAGAGCTCGAGACACATTAAAGAGGGGTAGAATTGGGGAAGAAAAAGATCCATGAAGACTTTGTGGAGGGAACTCTGTTGTGAACCACACTATTTGTAATTAGGTCCCTATGACTTGTCTGGCCTAGGCAGTTTGCAATGTTCATCAATTACGATTTGTGGCAACAAAAAGTTGTACTTATGGAGTGATAAAAAATTGAAATTAAGTAACCCAAAAATAATAGTCGAACCAAGAGCAACTATTAACTGATGATCTGACAGTGTAGTTGGATCATTCAGCAACTAAGAGAAAAAGAAAGGAGAGCAAATTGTAAGTCATTTTGTTGCTCACTTGACCGTTTGATTTACCTACATTTGATCAGCTTCACTAACCATTTAAATGTAACCTATCTCCTACCTACATTACATTTTGAATAGTTTGTTTCATCGTTAATTATGATATCGACGGTGAAACTACCATACCACTTATCTCGGAAAACTCGATTTTTCAGGAGAGCAAAAAAACTGTCTGCGTTCCTTATTTTTGATAATTAAAAGGTAATAATTCTTGGAGATAGAGATGATAAGATGCTTTTCACCACGCCTTGAGCATTTTTGAAAATAGTCGCAACCGTGATGAAATACGGAGGAAAAACCGAGTTATGTGTTTTGCGAAGTAGGAATTGACACTATTACATCGAGATATGTGAATTTTGAATTGAGGTATTGAGCCTCTTGTTTGAAGATTTTGATCGATTTAAGGCTCAGCGAATAGTCATTTTGAACAGTGTACTTCTATTCATGCACTGAAAGCTTCTGTTGATCCTACAACTGGACCAATAATCGTATCTTTATTAATTACAATACTATTAAACGGCATGACAGACTCAGAATCGTTGCATAGCATAAAATTGAAAGACTGATACGACCCGTACCGCAAGAAGTAGGATACTACTACTACTACTACTTCATACTTTCTTGAATACCTTAACACTTCTAATAAAGAAGGTGAATTTCCTTTCCCGGTGGATGAGTCGCCTTCTAATAAAAGCGTATCGACGGTGAAACTACCAGACCACGTATCTTGTTTGCGGTGTTTAAAAATCAATGCTCCCATTTTATTTTTGCAAATGAAAACCAGCCAATATATCATTCCTTGAAGTATTCACAGATTCTTCGTCACTCAAAGAAGAAAAATCACAGAAGATTTCAAGAATTGATGTTGAGAGGTTTTCATTTAAAAAATATAGTATGACAGGGCGTCTGCGACGTTGCAAACCGAGATACGGGGTCCGGTAGTTTCACTGCGGCACAGTGGATCGAGATAGTAGGAGAGGTCAGACAAAATTTGGACTTTAAACGCTTATAACTCCGTTTATACCAAAATTTTAAGATCTATAAGTGGTTTCATTGGTTTCCTCGTAAAATTTTCTTCTAAAATCACCCGTTGAGATTTAAAATGTGAGAAAATAAACATAAAAATTTGCAGTTTTGGTCAAAAATTTAATATCCGACCTCTCTTATTGACTCGATCCACTCTGCGCCGACATGCTTTGCCATGCATTCAGGATGTTCCCGAAACGTACCCGATGCCGTGTGATGTCAAGAGGGTACGAAACACGACCACCATTCTTTATCCGCCTCGGTACTTCATACTGTAGAGCGCGCCGTGTGTACGCAATAACTTCCTGCCGGCGCAAGATACGCGAGATATGTGAATTGCGAATTGGCACTGAGATATGTGATATTTGAACTACGGATTTGGATAACTTCCTGATTTTATTCGACAAAAATATTTTGGTGGCAGATAAAGGACATCTCCTACAACTCATTTATGCAGCTAACTCAAAACCGACAAAAATCGAGATACGTGGTATGGTAGTTTCACCATCGATATGTTGTGGGAGCTTGTGAGCCCCTTCCCATGGAGATAGTAACAGCAGTAAATTGCCGAAGTTTCTTTCATGCAATTCGATGCTGCGACAAATCTCAAAACTGCCTAGGGATTAGGACTTAAATAAAAATGCAGGTTTCAAGGGATGAGCCCAAAAATTCACTGTGACACCTTTAAAATGATAGATCACACGTAGTCAACTTATTGACTAAGTACTGGCATGTCCAGGTGTAATGAGAGTTCTTCAAGGCGATGTTCAAAATCAGTCGCAATCTCGTCCTCTGAATTCCTTTTCTCCGTAAAAACGTCAAACATACCTATACATGATTATCACATAGGTTCAGAGATAATTACCAAATTCAAGCAGTGCTCATCTGGTCCGTGTACTGCTGAAATGATTATTGTAATGATGGCAGAAGCAAATATTGAAATTCGATCAGTCTATGATTTAGTTTGATGCCTCCTTCATTTTTTTGCTGAAACACAACATTAGAATGCCATTATTCGGAGACCAAAACAACTAAGGGATCAAGGGTAAATGAGAAGCTGCAATACTGAAGTACCTTCAAATTTTCTGATTGTTCGATTGTTACTCGCCAAAAAACAGGCATTTAGGTACCCCTACCATACAAGGGTAAACTGAGAATACATCTTCGACGAGGATACAGTGAAGAAAGTAAGAGATAGAACTTGAACTCACCATAGTCTGACAGATGAAATCCAAAAAAAACCAGTCAGAGTAATATTTTTTAAGTTTGAATGCTCATAACTTATGGGGATGCATGCAAACCAAGCCTTGTAAAAGAGAAAAGATGCCATTAACCACTTTGAAAAGTATAAAGCGTTGTTTGGATTTTGTGAATATTAGAACCCGTAAAAATTATTCTGGTTACTTATCGAGGAGGTCAGAAACAATATTAAAAACTACGAATCATGGCTTTAATGTTGCTTCAGACTATTCGGACCAAAGACATGAAGACGGAGCACTAAAAGCAAAAAATGAAGCTTCTAGAGCTACTTTTCAATCACCTCTACTATTGGCTAGAGGATTGGCGGCGAAATCGGGACAAGTTTGAATTCAAATGTAGGGCGGGAACTAATAAATAAAATTGCGGAAACAAAGTATTTTAGGTTGATTTTTGCCCAAATTCAGGTACACACTCATATTTTATTAACTTTAGGTTAGTTTCCGTCCGTCGTCGACCGACTGATTTCATTTGGGAGTAACGTAGATCTAGAACTGTAACGGCCTGTTTGAACCTGCGGAACCACCATAAGCAGAAGAAAAACTAACTTTATCTGAGATTACTGCCTGTTACCGAGCAAAAGTAGGTGTAATATATTAGGACGCAGACCGAACTTTCTTAATATAATCGTTTAAAGCATTTAAAACACGTTTCGAAGAAGAAATAAGGAAAAATCAAGAGGACAAGTTCAAATCAAATTTCCGTTTGCCGCCATGGATTCCCGCGCTCATTTACACACTCACACAAACGCGCAGCGCCGAACCTAGCTTCACTTTTTCCCCGTGCTTTTAGATACGAGCACTCCGTCTTTATGTCTTTGATTCGGACCGTATAACGTATAACCTAAAAAATTCATACATTAATTTCTTTCCAGAGACAAATATAATTATTTTTGTCTTGAACCAATGTTGCATTGTTGCTTGGTTAGTTGCATAATATATACTTATTACTGTTACTTATTACCACTACTTATTACTTTACTTTTTTAACAGTTTTGCAACGCTTGCTCATCAACCTCACCATCTCACGTGCCGGTGGTTCAACATTCAACAGTCGTCGGTATTTTGAAATAGTTGTTTTGATTTTGGTTTTTGGTCCGTTACTTTTTTCATGTTTCATGAAACTTTCTGATTGTACTTCTTTTGCAATCGGGTGTAATTGCTGTGTTAAATTGAATTGAACACATAATTATTAGGTAGTATTCTTAGATAGTGTCGTCTCGCTTAGGGAGAAGTGTGCTAGTGTGTGTCATAAGAATCAATGGGGAGGGGAAGTGTGTTCCTTCCCCACAAGTGTGACCATCATGGATTTTGAAGTTTTCCATGTAAAAGCTTTTTTTAATGATCTAGGACGTTTCCTAACGTGATTAATCATTTTATTAGAACAATAAACTGACTGTACATTTTTGGAGGTACGTGTGATCCTTTATCTCACATCTTTTTGACCTTTGATGGATGAGAAATTGTCCATTCAATGAACTGACAAGATCCTTGGAGTATGTTTCTACCTGTTATTTCTATCCAGGCATGTAACATATCTGTGGTTTCACTTGAAAGATCTTCAGCTTTAAGATGATTCTTTCCAGGAAGTAAGTAGACATTGATATATCAAACAAATTTTTATAAAATACGAGTTTTGCTTTTCACTCTTTGTAAAAACAGAGAAGTTACTGTGTTGAAGCATATTTCAGCAGTCTATTGGTGAAGAATCTCCTCCGTAAACTCTAATTAAAAGCCAAACAAAACTAAATGCAAAATACCTCATCAGATTAGTCAAATTTAGTAGTACCTAGTTGATGAAAAAATGCAAAGGAACAGATCTGATGAGTGCTGAGTCTTAACTCAATCTATCAGACGCATCATTATTGCCTACGAGGATGAAAGAGTGGTTGTCATCAGTGCAGGTGTTTTAAAATTTAGGATTAGTGCGGGACTAGTACTTGACAATTTAAATTGTTCCATTGTTGTTCTAAGTTTGTATGTAAGGAGTCACCTTCAGGATTCTCTTCAAAATTTTTAAGTCCTTGTTCTTTCTTTTTTTTTAATTGACTGCGTTTATCAGGTAGAAAGGCCAATCGATGTTTAAGTTTTTTATTGTTTACTGCACCTCTTGCACAAGCGGTCGCTTTTGACGGTGTGGTCAGTGATTCCAGTTTATGTATTGCTAAATATTTTTGTGAAATTAAAAAATCTATGTAAGTATCTATGTATCAAATATTGAACTGGAATTTTTGAGTAAAGTCTTATCTTCAGGGGTATCCTTGGGTTTTTGGACAAGATATTTCAAGTCTAGACTGCTGAAGTAGGTATGCTTCTACACTTTTGCTTATCTTTATGAAGATTGAAAAGCAAAACTTGTATTTCAGCAAAATTTGTTTGATATATCGATGTTTGTTTGCCTCCTAGGAGAAGTCACCCTAATCGAGTTTAAGTATTTATCTCTTGCCTCAAATGATGCGTATTATCAGGAAACCTTTTAGATTTTTCCAAGTCCAAATGCCATCTTGCTTTTGCACAAGTTCCCTATCACTGTCTCATAGTAAATTTTTGGTTTTGTCTAAATTTTTTGTTTTGCAATTCTCATTCATTGCATCTCTCATTAGGTAATTATTAACAACTTTAAGTAGCCAACCAAATTTACTTGCCATTTTCTCTTGTAAAGTCAACAATGAGCACTATCAGGATTATATTCACTGTCATCCCTTAAACGTTTAGGCCTCCCAGACCATAAGAATTGTATTGATCTAGGAGGCCTTAATACCTACTTGAGGTACGCCTATAAATACAACCCTTAGAATCTCTAGGTACCTATTTTAATAATTTTCAAAAAATGTATGGCAGTTCAGATTAATATCTCATAATTTTTGTCCTCTATTTGCAGTTGAAAGCCCAACCTTACAATGTCAGGTGAAGCAAGTAAGATTCGTCAAGCGCTGGTGGACAAAAATTCGGTTGCTATCAAACACTCCAAAAAGAAGAAATTGGAAGTTACCTATTCTCTGTCAGACTCTGGAGATATATTTGAAGAGAAAAAGTCCTCTCAGTGTAAACGCAGGCCAATAATCCGGCCCCAAGAAAATTGTAATGTTCGCACCAATCACATAATTACGCATAAATCTTCAACAAATAAAAATGATGCTTTTCCAAGTCGTCTTCCAACTCTCTGTCGATCAAAATCTGTTGCTGAGATCAAATTGAAAGCAGCAAGCAACAAAAGCAAAATGGATCAGAGTCCAGCCACTGCGTATGCAGCAAGTAAGTGAGATTTGAATGATATTTACCCATGATTTTTCCATCATGCAGCCATAAGCACAGCCAAGATTCTTGTTAGTGCTGATTTAAATTGTGCTCTAGAATCAGGCTAGAAACATCTTAAATAACGCCTAAATTTAAGCTCAATCTGCATATACTGCTAACCAACACCAAAAAAGCTTTTGCATTAAGATTTTTCATCTGGATTCCCTTTTTAGGATGCCAGCTGTTATCCTGGGCCTTGAAGTCTCTTGATACCATAATGAAAAACATTTTTAAGCTGGCAGTTAAGTTATGCTTCACTTAAAATTTATTTTAATTACTAATAACTATGGTAGGATTCCCTAATTTTTTCTTACTGCCCAATTGAGAGAAATGCTTAAATTGTTGATATTTCTCTCGGATCAAAAATAATAAACATACTTAGTTACTTACTGTAGTATGTAATAGTTATTTTTGATCCGGGAGAAATACCTACATTTTATGCATTTCTCTCAATTTGGTCATGAGAAACAGTTAGGGAGTCCTACAACTATAATCTTAAACTTTAATCTTACTGTGAAAGATTTTTCATGCCTGCATTAAGTAAGTATGTAAATATATATAGAGCGAGTTTAACTTTAAACTTTAATGTTAACAAATAGTTCCCCTTGACCAAGAAGTACTGGACCAAATTTCAAGTCTCTTTAGCTCAATTTGTTCAAAAGGTACCAGGGTATTGTATGATGTTAACTCTGCTTTACATTTTAAAATGTAAGTGTTAATACTTGCAACCTTATATCCATCCAACGCAGTATATTTACTTTCTTATGAAAAAGATATTTCCTGTGGAATTAGCAATGCTAAAATTCCATCCAGCAGGGAAAAAAAAGACTGCTCAACATCAGGTAGTTAAATTCAAAATAGACCCACTTAGATCACACTGATGTCATAAAGGCTTCACTGTGTCTTGCAAAGAAATGAGCAAAGGCACAAATAAAAGAGAGGACCTTTTTATGAACAGTACTCTTCACCCACCTTAGAATGTCATGGAATTAATTCTTGAACTTGTCTCTGTTGCGGCTTCATTGTAGGAAGAACTCCTCTTCCTTTCCGGAGCTTTCCAAAAATACCAAGAACACCAGTGAATGCTCCCAGGTAAATATACTTTTGCTAATTATGTATGTAAAATACTTTCCTCTGTTGCCCCTTCTACTTTTTGGGCTTTTTAATCACATGCAGTTTTTCATGTCTCGGAGAAAATTTCACCCTCATAGTAAAATTCATTTTGCACTTGGACGGTGGCTTTTCTCTTTTTTAAGCATTCATCTGCTTGACTCTACAGCATAAATTAATTTTTTGGTGTCGGATTCGGGGGGACACACATCAATGCTGCAACTATTGTAAAAACATAAAAAGTTCCAAATTTTTTCCTCAAAATATCCAATTTTGCTTATTATTATTAAAAAAAGAAGAAGAAAATTTAGCTATGTTTTGGACTCACTTGCACTTTCTTTATTAAAATGAATGCATTTCAAGGGCTCTGCCCTCATCGTCAGCAATATCCTGCGACTCCAAACTTTGCAACATCATAACACAGAGAAATATTACAATTTTCTTAAAAATCCCCCAATTATACATCGTTAAGAATAAGCAACACTATGCAACAGAGAATTGAGATGCATCACCAGCCCTTTAGAGAGTGATTAGATAGTCACTTGATTAATTCTGAACTGCTTTGGCTCTTCTCATCATAAGAAAGTGTCAGTGTTCTTGAGGCGCCTCTCTACCGGTACTTCCTATTTCCAGGAAAGTGCCTGTGAAACAATATTCTGCAGTGTCCGTTTGCATGCCTAGACTTGAAGTTCATTATTTATTGTCCACAAAAGTTTCTTGGATGGTCAGAATTTACTGTTTATCAATTGTAAGACAGAGAGAGTAAAATAACACAGTCTGTTTCTACAAGTAAAACATATTTTCTCTTCTTAGGTTTGTATTCGTAGCCGTTCCTTAGTCAGGGCCTTTCCTGAGGAGGCCTCATATACTTAGTTTACATCATTGTGATTAAGGAAGATTTAAGAGATCCTCAACATAGCATCATGAAAAGGACATTTTTTTAAAGTAAATCTCAAGTAAAATTCAAGAGTGTGTACAACTTTGGGAATGGACCCTTAAAAGGGGTTTTAATGACTTGTTTAAAAAGAATGAAGAATACACATCCAAGAAAAATATTGCTGGTTTAAAAAATTTTAAGGTAGGTTTGCACCTTGTGAATTTGGCATGAATTAATTTTGGTCTCGGATTCTGAGGGATACAAATGACCTATGCTGTATTTTTTTTTAAAACTAAGCGCCAAATTTCGCTAATTATTTTTTACAATACAGGAAACATAGATAAAAATTTGTGCTATCATTCTCATGAAAGTAGCGCTCAATTGCAAAAAATAGTTAAGTTAAGGTGCTTCATTTCTTCATGAAACAAGAGAAAAATGTTTTATTTCATTATTGTTTTTGTTTTCTTTGTTCACAGTATCCCTGGAGCTCCAAAATTTGATCATAAAGTTAATTGCAAAATTCCGGTAAGTTTTAGCTAATTCGTTAGAGCACACATTTATGCTCGAATTATAACCTTTTTTTCCAAGTTTTTTCTTCTTGCTCTGTATTATGTGCATGGTTCAGTAAAGTGGAGCCGCTCCTAATCTTTACTTTTCTAAGTTTTTAAATTTGGAATCCGTGAATGAGTTAATGTTACCGCAGGCTTCTGTGTTCACACACAATCTCTGTTCAGCATATCCATACATAAGTATTTTTAAACGTAGAATTGAATTTTTATGTCAGAGAGTGGACTTGGCTTGAGGCCGATTTTAGGTTTACAGAAAATTGATATTTTCTTGGGACTGAAGTTAGTCATTATTGTTTCACGAAAAAATAAATGCACCTACAATGACCAGAGCATATTGATTTTCACATCTTTGCACTTATGGAATTGATTTGTAAAGTCATTGAATGAATACATTAGTATATCTTGTCTCAGCAATTTTTTATGGCAAAGCGATGGGTTTTCAGGATTAGTTTGCTTACTTTCAATGCACGAATGAATAAAGCATCGGACATGGCTGAACTTCTTTGTATGACAAAACGCTAAAAATAACAAAATAAAGACATATTTAATGCAATTGCACTTATAGCAAGTCAATTTTCTTTTCAATAATATAACGGGATTTAGCACTGGTGATTTAGCTATTACAGCCCCAAAATACCTTTGAATTGACTTTATTTTCCAGGATCTTGACATATCTTTCTCTTTTTTGGCTCAAACTACTTAGTAGACACTGTTCTTCAAGAATCTGATAAAATTTTGCTTGAGGTAGATCAAAAAACTTAAGCTTGTTCGCATGGCCTTATACGATCACAATACACGGTCTCGTCGAGGTGCGTGGTTGACCTTGCAGTGTTGGGTTGTGAATTCCCCTCATGTGCTGCTTACCTATATTAAAATCTCTGTAAATGAAAACTAATGATGTATGCGTCAGTAACGTGCCTTATTAACACATGGTGTTGGAGTTCACTTTTTGTTTTTCTTTTCCTTCCTCTCCTTACCATTGCCCTATCTTCCTTTTGCAAAACCCAGAGCAATGGTTGTATAACATACTTTAGAAAATTGAACTGAAAAGGAAGATAAAGAAAAGTGGTATTTCGTCGGTGAGTAAAACAAGCTTATCTTATCTCATCTTAATATCTCCAGCTGTTCACCCATCTATTTTGAAGGAAATCTCTCAGTCATCACTGATTTATCAGTGTAAGACAGTGCATCCTGGTTGGAAGTTCAAAACAAAAGTAAATAAAAGTAAGTACAAAAGGAACCTTTCTTTTCTGCAATGCCAATACAAGGATTATCCAAAGTTCTTTTTGACTCCCACAATTTCAACTTCAATTTTTTATATTAGTCAGCCTTTTTGGATAAATCGGTTTCAAGAGAAACCAGCTTTAATGCAATGATTTAACTCTCTTTCTTTTTCTCTGCAGCATGTGTTCATCTACTCATGTCAGGTTAAATTGCATACACTGCATTAATTTTATTTCATTCTCTCCCCATAAAATTAGGTTTGTAGCTAATTATCAACTTGGATGATATCAATGAGTGAATGGGCTCTTAGACAAGGTATCAAGCAAAGCATTAAACAAATAATTTTCTCTTCAAAATTTCCCTGGCAAAATGAATTGCACCACAGAGAGTGTAGAGGCAAACTACTAAACAAGCTATAAGTGTTTACAATTAACATGGGTTAAATAGCAAAAGTACGAATGATGTCATTTGTATAATTTATCTTCCAAATGTTCTGTGTTTGAAATACATGTTAATTCCTTGTTTAGGAGTTGATCTCTGAAATCCTTGTTGTGTGAATCGTATTCTACGTGAAATTTAGAAGAGAAAATATGTGAGTTTTTCTCTGGTGGCTCAATGTACAGACTCTCAAAACGATTCAATTTGATCATTGATCTCTGTATCAAAATCACTTTATTCTCCGAATGTTCAGAGGTTAAAAAATGTTGTGAAGAGAAATCTTTGCAGCAAATCCATTTATCTCAGAAACTGACCAAAGAAAAATGTCCAACCAATATTCTAAACTGAGAAGGCTTATACACGAGGACCAAGTGGAATGTGTTGCTTCTATTCTAAGTTCCCTAAATTTTTATGGGAATAAGTAAGGAACTTTGGTCCCATCATCCAATTCACTGGGAGGCGGTAATACGGTGTAGAGGCTGTAATGCAGTGTAGAGGTGGTCTTATTAACAATGAGCGTTTCACTTTTAAAAGGAATTATGTGAAAATGAATTAAAGCACAAGGAACTGTGGGCATAGGGTTTGCAAGTTACATTCCTTTTACGAGGCTTTTCAATAATATATTTCTGTTTGTTGCATGTAACTTTCTCTAACCTTTCTTGTTTATTTCTCAGATTCTGCAACGTTCGAAATCTTGCGTATCTATGAGAAGATCTGTCTTCACAAGTACTCCACTGAAAGATTCATCTGGCTCATTAATCCTTGGTCTCTCACCTATTGTACCACAAAACGCTCCACAACCTCCTGTTATAATTCCCTCTCAAGAGCTCAAACGTACAAGTAAGTTTTTCTTTCAATTTTTGGTCTTTTTTTTCTACCTAAATACCCAAGTAATACAGTTTTACACTCATCACCTGAGCTGCAGTCACAATTGAGTATAGCATCAGTTGCCACTCATACAGAAAGAAACAAATGCATTATGGCGTAAGCTACCTGAGTGATAGTACACTGAATTTTAAAGGTTCTTCTAGTATCTACTCTATGGTGAGCCAAAGCAGTGAGTTAGTCGAGTGATACCCTTGATGAAGACCTTCTTCGATCAATTAACTCAAAGAATTACCTAGATCCCTGCACAAGAGAATAGCTCAGTTGTAGCTTCCAAAGAAGTCAATTCCTAAATAAGATAGAGTCAGGCAAAAGGACTCTTCAAGTAGAAAACTAGAGAAGAAAAGGTGATAAACATACCATACCACAGGATAGACGAGCTCATGTTATATCATCTGAAGCAAAAAAGGCCCATAAAGCCCAAGGATGCACTACCGAGAAAAACGGAGTTTTGAGAAGAATAGGGTGAAATTTGCCTGCCTTTAAAATAATTCACTTTAAAAGGTTATAACATCATTTAAAACAAAAAGTATGGCTTAAAATTTGGACCCAAGATTTATCAGAGTATTAGAAAATTCAAATGCATATAAAAATTGGAAATAAATTTTTCTGACCTCAAATTAGTAACATTACTTGTGTGCTGACCTTATTTTTGGATGATTTAGAAGATTAGCCATCAAAATTTTGATTCTATCCCAAGTGCTTTGACCCATCTTGAACATTATATTTTTTAATAGAATAATTACCCGTACAAAAAAAGCTCTAAACCTTGTAAAACTCTTGCGCTCGTAAATTGTTAATGTTGCGTACGCGTCGTGCTGTCTTCACACTCTGGCATCCTCAGTGCAACTCCTCATCTTATTATACTGAGGATGCCAGAGTGTTGATTTGGCAAAATGTGTATGCAACATTAACAATTTACTCCCTTGTGAGGAAGTATTTGTTAAGTGCCCTTAATGATCTTTTCTCGTTCATTAGCCTTATACATTCTGAAATTGGAAATCATAAAAGATAAAATGAGGCTCGAGCTCATTTACCAAATTTGTATAATTTTGGGGCTCTCTCAATTTTGGAAAATCTAATTGTTGTATTTTAGGGTTAAAGGACATTTATCGTCATACTTACTCTCGCAACTATCAATCGCTTTAAGAGAGACCAAACAACATGATTCAACCAGGTGTTGGTCCATCTTTTTGTTTCAAAAACTTCTTTGAAGTTTCATCTGGCCAGATTTAACTTGAGCTAGCTTAGCTGCATTGCAAGAGTTGCCTAATTTTCTCTTGTGTTTAGAACTAGTCACCGCTGTTAAATTCTGTATGAATTTACTCTAAATTATGACAAATACCTACATTTAAATTTTCAAGTTACAGTGTCGCTTAGTTTTCTCTCTAAATATAAAACATCAGAGGAAATTATGTCAAATCTGTCCATTTATTACATACCTTGAAAGTAATGCATTTTTTCCATTTTAGCTGCAGAGCGCATAGCTCGAGTGGACTCAAATCTACCATTGAAATCATCGGTGAAGAAATATCCATCTCTTCTACCAGGTATAATTTTTCCCCATTTTTTCCCATGATATATTTTATGTAAATTCTTTTGGAGGGAAAACCATTTGCTATATGTTGTACCCGAAACCTTCAATTAGTACCTTCTGGTAGTAAGTACTATTTAGTGCCTTCAGTTTAAACACAGTCCAACTGAAGTCAATTGCATCTTAAAAGTTTTGGATGCATCTTAGAATATGCAAAACACACTTGAGAATTCTCAGTTTGCCTAAGCGTTTAAAATTCCCATTCTACTCTCCACATGCCTCCATGAAATTGAGCATGTAGCATACTATCTGTCAGCGAGAATATGCAGTACGGCTGTATCATATTTCAAATAGAAAGCAGCTCAATCACAATGCACAATTCCCATCATAGCAATAGAAGGGTTAAAATGTCAAGTGTCCTTCTGTTTACAAAGAAGGTACATACCAATTTCAGGAGTATTACACTGTATCGTTATTCCTGAGCATTGGTAGCCTAAACCTCAACTTTAAGTATCCCAAGGGTGAATTGTCATGTGTAATTTGATTTTACAAGGCACTTCATTACACTGAATATTGCAAAAAAAAGTTCTAAAGAAATTCTTCTCTAATTCTTTTGGAAGAACCATACTCTTAATATTGCAATGGAATTTTCTTATGATGTTGGTAGAACCATGGCTGTGCATTTTCCATACCTACTTCATAATAGGTTCAAAATCAAACTAATGAACATGATACATAAATCAGTCACGCACAGAATCAACACACTGTATTGGAGCTTACTACAATTCATGTTTTAAGAATATTTCTATTTATTTTTTTCCAGATGAATCTGTGATTCCAGAGCCTGCAGCCGACATCAAACATACCACTTTTGTTAAAACAACAGGAAACTTTGTTTCAAAACAGACTGTTCAGTCAACATCAAAAGAACAAGCTGCAACTTCCACTGTAACACTGAAAACTGTAAAACCATCAAGGGCACGGATTACAAAATCTAAGACTTCCAGCTTTAATTCTTTACAGAGCTCTGACGAGAACAATCGCAATGAAACTGTAATCTTTGTTGGAGACAAAAATATCATCGCCAATGAAAACATACTGAAACCAGCATCAGTTGTCCCGCAACAAAAATCCATCGCAAAAAAAACTGATGAAACCATCAACCTCAGTTTGGATATGCAGCTTAGGAATGGTACAACCAACAAGAGCCTGCCACTGATATCTAACAATGAGAATGTTGCTGCAAGTTCTAGCCAAGGTGAATCATCTAAAGTCAAGGTAACAATGGAAACAAAAAGAGGAAAGAAAAAAGATAAGAGTCAAACTGGAAAAACCAATGAACCACCAAAAGAGGCACTGTCTGAGATTATCAGTCAGTCTGTTCGGCAAGAACCAGAAGGGAATCAAATAGGTGGTGTTTCAAAGCCAAGAAGAAGACAGAAAAAGGATGAAACTATTCAAGGTCCAGTCCAAAGCATGAAAAATCCAGAAAATGTCAAGATCAGGTCTTCACGTAGAAAAAATGGAAAAAACACTGTACAGGTCGATTGCGCAATAGATATGGATATCGTAAAAAAAGAAGCAGAACACAAATTGGAAGCCTTGTCTCCCTCCACTGCTGAAAATGTCTCCAATGCTCATGAAGCTGGAGCTTCTAGTGAAACTGCTGACTCAAAATTGCTGGCAAACGTCACTACGAGGAGAAGGAAGACTACAGAGCCGGCAAATGAGGTACCAGCTAAACGTCCTCGGAGTGAGTTGGTAGGTCAAGCTGAAAAAGATACAAAGAAGTCCAAAGAAAGAAAATCAAGCCGTGTTGCTGGAAAACTGGTAGCAAGACGTACCAGAAGAAAAGTAGAAAATCAGCCCATGGAAGAAAGTTCCAAAGAGAATGATGTCTTGAAAGACGCAGAAACAAAAGATGTTGATGGGATGTGTGTCATAGCTTTCTCTGAGAGAGGACAAAACATGGAAACAACCAGCAATTCTGAAAGACCTAGAACTCGAGCTGCAAGGAGCAAGAGAGGAGAACCTGCTCCATCAAATGACCAAACAGAAGTGAATAATGATCTCACACGAAATACTAGATCAAGGGTCGTGTTTGAAGCAGAGATTTCAGAGCAACATCATGCCAAGTCTAAGAAAAGAAATCTAGCAAGGAACCTCACTCCGAATGAAGACTGTCTCCCTAGTTCAACTTCCGTTTTAGATAGACCAAAAACCAAAACACGGCCGTCACGCTGTGATGCAGACAGTGCAGAAGTTGGAAACAGTAATCGTTCCCGGAGAGGTTAGTCCATCAATTCTAATTATCTTTTTTTAAGTTTTGCACATGAAGAAAGAATCATGCTGCACATGTGAACAAGCTGTAAAATACAGGGGAGGAACGTAATAATGAGGAAAATATCAGAAGAATTGAAAGTATCATACAGTCAATCAAAATTTTTTACCTTCCCAAATCTTATCAAAGATTATGTGCATCTATTTTATTTTTTTGGGAGTCCGTAAAAATAAAAATAATGAGGCAAGCATTTTAAATTGTAAAAATTAAGAAATATTTTGAAAAATGTCAGAAATCTTAAACACAGAGAAATACTTGTTACTCTGGGTTATAATCCAAAAGTGTCCATCTTAAGGATTTATTAAATTCATATTGTGTTGATGCCCTTTTAAACAAGATCTAATCATTGACTTTTTTCCCTTTTTTTCTAGCTGCCACAAATCTTATTTTAACAAATGAAATGAAATTGTCTGAAGTCAGTAAGTATAATAATTATCTTCTTATAAAGAAATGATACATAGACGTAGAAATATAAAATATAAAAGAATGAATTTATATACATTCATTATAATTTATTTGATAAATTTGTTTAAATATGGTTAATTAATAATTCATATTTTTAATAAAGCCTATAGACTCATGGCACAATTTCTTATTTGACGGAAGAATTGTGGCTTAACCGTATGTACCATTCTTCCAGGTAACTTATTCTAACAAGCAGATCCTACCCATTTGACTCTTCATATCATACATTAAAATTAAGATATCCCCTTGAAACTTTGTAGGTATACTTTTGATGTCATGAGAATTTGAGTCGTCTAGGTAATGGTTAGAAAGGATGTATGCTTGTGTTCCCTTTTTCCAGCAATCAAGTCCATTTTGAAAAATTGTTCTTGAGTGTATTGGTGGTCATTAGTATGAACAGCTTGTGTCAAGCTGACTACTTACATGTTCTTGGACCATCTCAGGGGAAAAAATGGGCTCAAAACTCCTGGAGACACTTGAGGCCCTCTTGTCAGATGCTTTTACTTCAATCTGAGGGAGGAAAGGTTGCTATTTTCTGTCTGACAAGTTCATATATTGAACTGCAAAAATCACTTTGTTTTAATCTGTTTTCTTTCTTTTCAAAACTTTGTATTCTTTTCCTTTTTGCAGAGACATTTTGGAACCAAAAAGTATGTTATCATATTCATAACACACGCAGTGAAGATCCCTCACATAAGTATGCCTCGTTGGCGCTATTTCAGCATGAGGACAGTAAAATTCAATGCGGTGTATTAGAGATTCCCCCTCAAAATTACAAGCCAGAGCAAAAACACCGCCGTGATCTAGTGAGTAGAGTTGCTGATTTTATCTTTTAAATTATTAAGGTCAGAGCTAACTACAGAATTGATATCAAAATGTCTACAGTTCGGATTTTACAGTTGAAATTTGTATCAGAAACTCTAGACAGCAATGGAATCCAGAGGTGCAGAGTTTCTAAGTGCTGGCCGTTTTCCAAGATCTGTTGTTTAAGCCTCACAGCCATATTTTCGACTTCTATGACCAAATGAAGGATTTTACGGCTAAATGTTTGATCTCATGGTGAAATGTGCAATTATTTGTCTCATTTTTTAAGGCGTTAAACTAAAACAAACAAAAATTATGGGATCACTATTTCTGACTTATTCATAAAAGCTCTCATCTGCTTTGGAAAACTAATGGCCAACAAATAGCTAGAAGCCAGGAAATATCCAATATCTGAAGCCATATCTATAAAAACAGCGGATATCAAACATTCGCCATTTTGAGGGATAATGTCTTTTAAGAATCTGCTAACCGTCCAGAGTGTTTGTGCTAAGTTTCAGACTTCTGGTATAATTTTTCTTCAAGATGTGAATAAAAAATCAAGTGATATCTAGAAACAGCAGATGTCAGAATGCATGGAAATAATAAATTTTGAGCTAAATTATTCGCTGAAGCTCATTAATTTCGTTAAGGGTTGTATATGTAAGCACATCACAACAGCAATAAAAGTTAAAAAGACCTACTGTACGTGGGTCCTTGGGAGATGGCACCCCTATTATTAGTTTTTTATTTAAAAGACTGATAATATAGTTTGTTCCTTATTTTTTTTTTTTTTGAAGTTACCGAATATTTATTTTTTTTTAAAAAAAAAAAACCATTAAAAAACTTAACAGTAATTACAATTTGCTCAGTGTCAATCCCTCCACCTACCTCTCTTATATTAGCTAGGTGGTTCATTTTATGCCTTTAAAAAATAATGTCTCTGTAAATACAGCAGATGTGGTCTTTTTTCAAAATCACTGTACCTTGTTTACATTTGCTGTAAATTTAAAGAGCCGTATGCAAAAACGACATTTTTCGCCCCCCCCCCCCCCAAAACTTATTCAAACTTCGTCTATCAGTTACTAATACTGGAGCGCTTCTTTCCCCAAATTTTCAGACCCCCAAAAAATTTTGGGGGGGCGCTAGAGGGGGTGGAAGTCAAAACCTGCGACCCTCGATATCTTCCGAACGAAACAAGATATTGAGGCCCGGTTTGGACGAAAAATCGTCTAAAATTGCATACTTTAAGATTCTAGAGGTCAAAATCCCAAAATTAAATTTTTAACTTAACTTATGTGCTTTTTTTCAGTTTTTGAGGAAAAACAATTTCTTTTAAACAGATTAAACTGAAATTTCACATTTTTTGATTTGAACCAAAACCAGTTTTTTAAATTGTTCGTCTTTTTCCGCATCCAACGAGTGGTCGTTTAAGCTGGGGAACCGAACGGTTCCGGATATGATCGATTGAAGTTTCCGCTCAACGCGCGCCGACCGATTTTCGCGCGCAAAAAAGTTGGATTTGACTGTTATTAAACCAGATTTAATGTTCAAACTGAGCAAAATGCATTATTAGGGACTCTTGAGGGTCGCTGAGTCCAGAAATTACAGATACTTCCAAAAAATTCACGTTTTTAAAATTACAGCTCCGTACAGGACCACTGAGCGGCCGGTCGGCGCTCAGTGGGCCTCTAAAATAGCGCTACGGAGCTGTAATTTTAAAAACGTGAATTTTTTGGAAGTATCTGTAATTTCTGGATTCAGCGACCCTCAAGAGTCCCTAATAATGCATTTTGCTCAGTTTGAACATTAAATCTGGTTTAATAACAGTCAAATCCAACTTTTTTGCGCGCGAAAATCGGTCGGCGCGCGTTGAGCGGAAACTTCAATCGATCATATCTCCGGAACCGTTCGGTTCCCCAGCTTATACGACCACTCGTTGGATGCGGAAAAAGACGAACAATTTAAAAAACTGGTTTTGGTTCAAATCAAAAAATGTGAAATTTCAGTTTAATCTGTTTAAAAGAAATTGTTTTTCCTCAAAAACTGAAAAAAAGCACATAAGTTAAGTTAAAAATTTAATTTTGGGATTTTGACCTCTAGAATCTTAAAGTATGCAATTTTAGACGATTTTTCGTCCAAACCGGGCCTCAATATCTTGTTTCGTTCGGAAGATATCGAGGGTCGCAGGTTTTGACTTCCACCCCCCTAGCGCCCCCCCAAAATTTTTTGGGGGTCTGAAAATTTGGGGAAAGAAGCGCTCCAGTATTAGTAACTGATAGACGAAGTTTGAATAAATTCTAGTGGGGGGGCGAAAAATGTCGTTTTTGCATACGGCTCTTTCTGAGGCTTATTTTTTAGAGGAGAATTCGTTCTGTAATGAATTCCTTGGCCAAACCCTATTTGCTGCACGGTCATCGAAATGCATAGCTTTCAAAATTTAAAACGTGATTTTCTCAAAACTTAAGAACGCAACATCCGCTGTTCTCACACAGGTATAAGGCTTTATATAACCAGAAATAGTAGTCTTTTATTGCAAAATTTTGTTCAGTCGCAGATAGGGTTTCATCAAGCGAAAAAAGCTCTGTGGTCACCGACTGTTTGTGTGAGTTATTCATGCCAAAATTATCGCAATTTTGAAGCATCTAATGTGCAGCTTGAGTAAATTTTGTCATGACTAGTTACCATGTATGAGCGTCCTTCCTTATTCTCTCCTCAGTTCCTTCTTTCTTTTTTCTTCCTCTTTTTTCGGGCAAATGCCCCTCTCCCCCTGAATCCGCCTATGATAAAAAATCTCAGAATTCAGCTGGCGCCAGATTTCCTGGTATTTTGCACGTAGCACTTTCTGCCTTCACTGCATTGATGCATCTTATGAGCTCACTTTCTCACTTTGCAACTGATATAAACTTTTTTTGTTTAGATGTTAACCGTCTTGGATGGGACTTGTGATGTCATAGTTAATGGAAAACATCAAAAATTGGATTTTGGTTCCGTCATGGTACTTCCCAAAGGTAATCATCGAGTTTTTAGATTAAGTTCAGCCCTCAATAAGACTCCCGTTTTAATTGGATTTTGTGGAATAGCTAAAGTTTTACTCAAGCCCCCAAACTAGGACAGTGCAAACACTCAAAAGATTCTAACTAGACAGCCTATTTGAACAAGAAAGGAAGATACCCTGGAGTTTTCCCATACAAGAATGTAAGGCGACTCTCTTTTCCTTAGGCTCTTGCCCGGAAGATTTCTGCCGTTTTCTCAGAGAGTGTGCAAGTACCCTTCAGGAAGCCTAAAGTGCAAAAAAGAAAAAAAAAGAATTGGAAAATTCCGTTCTTACACTTTTCTACCAAGAGGTTTCCATTGCTTCTTGTCTCTTTGTGAGGCCGGTAGGCCCAGAAAAAATTTGAGGAAAATGTTGAGATTTTAAAAAATGTACTGAATTCGGAACCTATTAAAACAAAATTTGTTTTGTTAGAATTCATAGGAACATTTAGGAAATTTTGCCTGCGGGGTATAGCAGAAACCACCCTAATTGAAAGGAAAAAAATCCAAGAGACAGTTTTGTTCAAAAATCAGATAATCCATAAATTTTGGAGTCAGAGAAGTCTTGGAAAACCGGAAGTGAGGAAATTATGGAAAGCCTACTGTCGGTGGTCACATTTTATCCTGTTTTTTTTATTGTTTGTTTATTTAGTTTTGGGTGGTTGCAAAATTAATGATATTATTTCATTCCTAAAGTATCCCTCTAAATCCTTGATGAGATCAGTCGGTGGTTTTTGGATTCGCATCAAACGGTTATGTGCCTAATTTTTTACTTTTCATTGTTTTCAGGTTCGCTGTATGGGATCAAAAATATCGGCTTGAAAACTTGTAAAATACTGTTTACGATGATGCCTGCCTTAGTACCTAATTTATCTAGTACTTAGTCACCTATTTTGTGCCAGATTTTGGAGTTTGAGAAGTCTCAGAAAACCGAAAATGAAGAAATTATGGAAACCCTACTGTCAGTGGTTACATTTTATCCTGTTTTTCTATCGTTTTGGGTGGTTGCAAACTTAATGATATTATTTCATTCCTAAAGTACCCTTCTAAATCCTTGATGAGATCAGTCGGTAGTTTATGGATTCGTAACAAACGGTTATGTGCCTAATTTTTTACTTTTAATTGTTGTCAGGTTTGTTGTATGGGATGAAAAATATCGGCTTGAAAACTTGTAAAATACTGTTTACAATGATGCCTGCCTTAGTACTTAATTTATCTAGTGCTTAGTTACCTATTTCCATTGGTCAATTCCCGTAGATTTCCGTACACGGCCGATTTTTTTCATTACGGTTTTAAATTTATTTTTTTACATATTATTGTTCACACTTGTCCTTATAGTATGTATATTTCTCATTTTTAAAAAGTCAGATTTTATGATGTGAGTTGTTAAAATTTTGTGAGAGTGTGTACACAATTTTAAATAGGAAGACAAAAATGTTTGTCCTCTCTATCACAGAAAAACTATGTATTATGAGCAATGCCTGTTTCAAAAAAGAGTGCATTTCCTGTCATTTATACTCTCTATTTGGCTTAAAACATGTATTTTCCAAAAACAGCCAAACAGTATTTTGATGTAAATTATGATGTTTTTACAATTCGTTTTAATACCTGTGATAAGTATATTTTTTTGCTTGAATACTCTTTTTAACAATTAAAAGTCTATGGTCAAGTGATTACAGCTGAGTTCTTGCATATCGATCCTCTCTTAAATCTCATCCCTTCATCTTAAAGCATCTTTTATTACTCTTCTGACTCTCATATGAGAGTGATATGTATCTTTTGTTTTGGCTTTAATAATAGTAGAAGAACGATTTCAAAAACGAGAGAAAATTCAATGGAGTTTGTAAGGAAACTAGTCTCTGAAAAATGCAGAACGCATGACAGATGAATTAAATATGTAGTTACAAAATAATTTATTATTCTCTTAAAAGTGGAACAAGAAGTAAATTTACACAAGGTTGAAAAAATATCAGTTTGGTCTTTTATCCTACTTCCATTCTTCCAACCAGAATAGATTGTATTCGAATTTATGTTGATTGGGTTGAACCTCATAGTTTGGCGGTAGATAATAATATTTCATCCGAACACTCAGTTTGAAAGTCTAAAATTGACGGAACTATCACCCTTTAAAATTCCTGTATATCCTGATAGATGACATAATCCTCAGCAACAGTCTACACTTACAATAATTTCTTACATGTTTATCTTACAAGTGATGGGAACGGGCAACTAATGAAAATTGTATTCATTTCTAAAAGAAATGATTCTGGGAGAGCACTGTAGTGTGCCATGGAAGAAAACATTTTTCATTGTGTATTTCTGACAGTGACGTCTCATGCCTAGTAGAATATAAGCATGAAGAATTACACAAGACAAACAACTGTAGTTTAGTATGCAGAAACTTATCATTCAGAAAGATATTATTCAATTTTACCTACAACAATCCACCGATGAAACACAATTGATCCATCAGGGTGGTTCAGAAATGCGAACCTTTAAACTGGGACTACAGAATAGAAAAAGTTTAAAGAAAAATTTTTTACTGATACTGTATATCTTTTTTATAGCGACAATAATATTTCTAAAATTTCCAACAAAACTCTGCTGCATTGCAAAATGTTCATAAAAATAATTTTTCTTTGGCTTGATGTCTACAATCAAAATGGGTCATTGATGCATTTGTTGAGTTGCTAATTGAAATGAAGGCAGGATTTAGATTACAAAATTTTCACGCAGCCCAAGGGCTGTGCTTAGCCTGCTTCAAGAAATAGGCTGATTCTGACTAGAATACCTCATAACAAGAGGGAATAAAACAACAAACACTAAACCTCCTTTGTTGAATAAAGATAATGGCCTCAAAACAGAGCATAGCAACAAATCAATGGTGTAAGTCGGCAATCACATAACTCGTTTTACGGTGTCTGAAAATCTCCACCTCTATATTATTTTTTTAAAAGAGAACAAATTGACATCATTCTTTGAAATTTATGCAGAATTTTTTTCGCACAGAGAAGAAAAATCACGGCAGTTTTAAAGAATTGCCGTTGAGTAGTTTCCCATTCAAAAAATAAAGTATGACAGGAAGTCTGCGACATGCAAACCGAGTTATGTGATTGCCGACTTACACCGTTGATATGCCTTTTTCTGCACATTCTTTCCAAGGAAAAAATTATCATCATTATTTTTCTTTTTCAATGTCTCCAAGGGACAGTGTAAGAAATTCGGGTTTTGAGTGGGTATCAGGTATTAGGCAGATAAACTTGCTCGTTAATAGTATTAGTTTATAGTTTAAGGATTGCTGGAGTTCCTCCTTTTTTTGGATTTACAATTAAATGAGTAGTAGTTAATTATCTTTGGTACTCTGGTTTTAAATTTTTAAGTACACCAATAATCTTAATCTCCTTACTTTCAGTTCTATCCCATGCTTTGACTGTAATATAAAACAGCGCATGCTCAGGTGGTCAACAAAAATCACTGATCACTTCATCACGGTGATACATTAAGTCTTGAGGCATGAATTAACAGTTAGAATAATTCCCCTCACTTCATTCTTTCGTTTTATCATGTTTCAATTTTATTGTAAAGTGTGAGGAGAAATCTCTGCAAAATCAGGATCCAAAGACCTGAGGATGAGCATATAAATACTAGAAATGGGCATTGTCTAAGCTTTTAGTAAGTTTGAGGAGATCAGGATAAAAGAAGAAACATAGGTAATACATTTGCTATTAGAAGTTTGGACTGCTTCAGCCTTAAGAGCAAAGCATGATTTTGTCTGAGGCCCCCCCTCAAAACCCGGATTTATGACATTTTTCACATTGTTTCTAGGGTGCACTAGAAAAAAGAGATGAAATGGTATACAAAATTTCTTAATAATTAATGGAAAAAATGCCAGCGCTTGGAAGCCCTTTTTGAAAGTCCATGTAAAATAATCTTCATTTGATCTTAATTCAATCCGTAAAGTTTGATCTGCTCGTCATTTAGTCCGCAATATTTGTTCTCCACAATTAGCTTGATATATTTTACAGGTGTGAAGGAAATTGTGGGACAAAGCCATACTTTATTACTGGTGTGAGGTTTTCTGATATCCTGAAAAAATATAAATAAAATCAATGCTGATGTTTATTTTACATAAAGTGTTTTAAACTGGATTTAATTTTCGGTACATTGCTTTTCTTCATAAATAACATGGCGTTCTCCTTCATCGCAATGGGCTTGTTGCAAATTTTTGCCAGAGCAAAAATAAGAGTTGTTCCTGATAGATAATGTCTCTAAAATGACGATGAGCGCATCGGTAAACTCTGAAATGCACTCCTAACTTCACAATCTGCGTATGAAATTTGCGTTTTTTTAAGCTTCCTGCTTCAAAAAGGATACTACAGCACAGGTTAACATTTCATTAGAGGAGTCGTTCCATTCAATCCCTGCTCAACATAGCCGACGCTTCCGCGCGCAAGTTGAGGAAGGCACGAGGTCAATCAAGGCGGATATCTATCAACGCGAGAAAAATTTGAATGTAAACACGCCGATTGTTATCAGGGGGTTAGAATCATCGTCTCGTCACATGTGTTTTGGCAGATCGGCATTGGCTATGTTGAATATCACTTAGGATTCTTCTGAACAGGGGTTGGATGGAATGACTCCTCTAACGAAATGTTCACCTGTGCCGTGGTATCGTTTTTGAAGCAGGAAGCTCGAAAAAACGCGAATTTCTTTTGCAAATTTTGAAGTAAGGAGTGCATTTCAGACTTTGCCGATGCGCTTATTGTGATTTTTGAGACACTTCCTATGAGTAACAGTTCATACTTTTGCTCTGGCAAAAGTTTGCAACAGGCCCATTGGTGGCCAAAGTGAAAAACTACATATCTTTACTGCGGTGTTTCAAGATTTCCGCTCAACTTTACTTTTTCAAAGAGAAACAAGCCATCTTTATGACTTGAAAATCCAGAACATTCGGCTAACAGAAGAGAAAAATCAAAGGTTTCGAAAGATTACTTTGACTGGTTTTCCATGGAAAAATTAGAGTAAGACAGGAAGTCTGCAATGTTGCAAAAAATGCAAAATGGAACAGGGAAATGGAAATGGAAATGCTTTGACTGTCAATATGTTTTTTGATACTTTTTAGGTACTTATTCAAATTATTTGTTAATCCCTTGAAACAAATTAAAACGGAAATGTTGCAAGGAGCAAGAAGTTACGATTTATTAAGAGTATCGTATGGAAAATTTTGCAAAAAGAAAGACAGTACCAATTATTAAAAAGTACAGAATGGCCCAATAAATTTAAAAGAAAAAGCTTTTTATTTCCAAGCTGATTTATTTAAAACGAGATTTTGGAGAGACTAGTATTGTTTGTTAATTACTTAAAACACTGCTCTCTATTTCTGAATTCTCCTTCCATTACCTCAGCTTGAAATATTTTCTTTAAGATTACATAACACTGGGGCTTAGTAACTGTCTATCATTATCAGTATTGTTTAGAGAATCTGGAGCACAAATTTTAATTTCCCCTAAAAAATTGAATCATTTGAAAATGGACCTTTACATAGTACTATACATGGCTCCTTTCTCTTGATGAGTCCATCATGGACTAAGCAACTGTTGACCTCCTTTCCCCTTATGCATTAGATCTCTGCTTCATGAACAGTTCAAAGTTGATCTTTCTTACATTGCATATTGAAAAAGGCATAGAAAGTGAGGATCTCACTTACATTTCAGTCTTAGGCTGTAGAGTAAAGTTGGCTCGATTGACATTGGCGATAACTTCCACAGGTCGAATGGATCCAAAGAAGTCCATGATAGACACTTTATGCGGATCTCGGGGAAATAAGTCTTTCCGCACACCCACAGTGGAGATGCATAGTTTTTTCGGACAAACCGCCAGCTGAAAAATGGGTAAATAACTGAGTAAGCTAGAAAATTGCATTGGAATTGAGTACAAAAAAGAAAGAAAACTTGTACATTTCAACTTCCGGACAAAGAGTGCTTTCCACAGCTAACTGCTTAGAGGTTAAATTAGAATTAGAATTAACCAAAGGGCAAAAAAAATAACGATGAGATGTCATCAGTAGAGTATTCTTGTTTGTTTACTGCTGGTTGACAGTGGCATCATTTCAATTTCAAATTCACCTTGTAGGTTGAATTCTGAGTAGGTAGAAGAGATAGTGGAAACTTCATACTACCAACAGGATAAATCAAAATTTTTGACTGAATTACTGTCAAAGAGAATTTTGCCTTGTAATGCCAATTTTTAGGCTGTAAAAAATTTAGCTCTTGAATCATCATAAGAATTTGAATTTAACTTACAAATTCACCCATTGTTTTTGCACTGTTGGGATGAACTTTTTCTAGGAACGCGAGTGCATAGTAAGTGTATCGGTCTATGATGTAAACTCCAATGGCTGGATCAACATGATGCTGAAACAAAATGAAGACTTTAATTGGTGCAAATTTTCATCATTTCATAAGAACCTAAACTTTAAAAAGTTAATGACAAAAGCATAAAAGCCCTTGTACTATTGTCAGTGATAAAGAGGACACTTGGAGTGCAAAAAAGAATTCCTACCAACTCAATAACACGGAAAGCAAAAGAATCAATTACAAGAGGGATGGTGGAGGGAGTCTCCTAACGCACTTTTGAAATCTATCAACTTGTTAGGCATTGCGGATAAACAATGCAACCTGCGTGACATAGCAAGGCAAACTGTGTTTTCAGGTGGGGGGAATGACATACCAGTGCCACACCTTATTGAAGTTGGTCATTTACTATATTTCACAAAGAAGATAAAAATTGTTCGAAAATTAACCCTCAGGTAGCAATGGGTCAGTTGCGCTGGGCACAAGATCGTATTTTGATGCTTGATTCTTGTAGATTGGCTGAATATAATAAGATCCGTCCATACCGCAACTCTCTGTGTTCAACATTAACCGAGATATCGCCCTTTGAAAAGTCAGGTTTTTGACGTCATCCACCGCAGCAGTGACACCCTTGGTTTCTTCATCTTTTGTTTGATCAGTGATGCAGAGGGTGCAACGCGAAACTTCAAAGACGTTAAACGTAAACAAACTCTAGAAATAGATGGCTTCGCACTTTAAAGATCTTCTTATCAGGAGATAATGCACTCGCCACGAAGAGATTAGGTGGTTAGTCAATTCACCTCAGTTCATCTATGTTTAATGTCGTTGAAGTTTTGCGCTGCACCCTCTGCATCACTGATCGAATAAAATAGGAAGAAACCAAGGGTGTCACTGTCGCGGTGGATAACGTCAATAACCTGACTTTCCGAAGGGCGATATCTGGGTTCATAACGAACGTAGAAAATTGCAGTATGGACAGATCATATTATATTCAGCTAATCTACAAGAAGCAAGCATCAAAACACGATTCAGTGACCAGAGCTGACCCATTCAAAGTTCAAGGAAAAAAACAGGGAATTCTAGAAAACTACTGTTTAAGTTTTTCAGCGATTTTGTCAGTTTTTGGAACAATTCACTTTCAAATATATAAATCATTATTCATAATGAAAATCATAACTTCAACTTTGACACAATGTTCTAGAGAAAGTTAGAAAATGTTAAGGATTGAAAACTGCAAATTGATATTATTGACCGAGCAAACCACTGACCTAAACGATTTAAGTTTCCACTTGAAGGCACATTTTGCCCTGCTGCTTCACATTCCATGCTATGAGTAATATCACTGATAAAAAGTGGAAAAAAATTCTAAGGTAAGAGAAAAAACTGCGGTTGTTTTTGAGAATTCTGTTATCTTTTCTTGGAAAGTAGGCATTGATTGAAAAACTTGTAAAGGAATGGCATTGCCAAAATGTTGCAGACCTGTTCTATTATTGAGGCCATTTAAAAAATATTTAACGCTGAATTTCGGTTTTTTTCGACCCCCTCCCCCTCCAAACGCTTTCTTGAATGGCACATGACTAAGAATTAGAATTTCTTTTTAATTTTCTTCAACAGTTATTTGTGAGCAATTTTTCTTCCTAATGATTAGAAACAGACGCATTGATGACATAAAATGAACTTTGATTGATGTCTTGATTGAATAAAGCGAATTGTGAAAACTGGTGATTTAATGCTTACTGATAAGGAGTCTTCACCAACGAGACTACTCGCAACAGCAAGTATGTTTGGAGAATAGAATTTTTCATACATGGAGGCTGCTTGACAAGTATCAATCATGAAAAACACCTCATTATACCTGTTAACAAAACAGAGAGACGGTTCTAATAGGAGTAATGTTCGAATGGGTTTTTTGAAAATACTTTTGGCACATTGAATGAGGCCATAACATGGGATTTTACTGAAGATAACTTAAAATGCTAGAAAAACAGAATACTTTTCAATAAAAGTTGGTAACCTGATTTATTACTTATTTCATCATCATGATTCTCTGAGATTATCTTGTGCAAGTTTTCAAACAGTTTTGTGCAATTTTAGAAGCAGATACAATTGCAATGGTTTTACCTTCTTTTTTGCCACATTTGCTCAAGAGCATCTGCAAGTTCTTGACTGGTGACTTCCTCCGAGTCTTGAAATTTGAGAAAACCATCACCACCATGACCTGTCAGGTAGACTAGAATATTGCTTCCTTCATCTGTCAGTAATTGTTTTGATCTGGGAGTGCCTGCTGGCAGCCTCCCCGTCAGTAAGCGGACAAAATTTTCAACTGTGACCTGTGAAGTACATCATAAGAAACATTTACTTCACCAAAATCTGAGACAAATTCAATTGCTAAAAAAGTGCGGTATAATCTAACTTATAAATTCAGCTGCTGTTAGAAGACTTAGAAACTTTGAGGATAAGTAACTGTGAAGGTAAATTATTTGGACTTTCCTTGAACATTTTAGCCGTTCGCTTTTAGTTCAGATAGAATTTAATTGGAAAGCAAAGTTCCTACCTACTCTCTTTACTTGAGTCGTGTCACATACTGTCACCTAAATAGATTGCTTTTAAACTGCAACTGAGATTCATTTTTTGGGGGGCTCATTGCTAATTGACTTGAATGTTGTGAACGACGAGAAAATATTTATTTTTTGTAATTCAGCCAACTACTCCCTCTTGCAAAAAGTGATGATCCCAGAGGAAGTTTTAATACAGGCTAAAATGGCTAAGTCGATGACTGGGCCTTGACAAGTAAAATTCAATGCTAACAATTCCTAAATTTTCCTGGATTTCTTGACTAATTACCTCACTTTTTTGCATGTTTTAGAGAAAAAATTGTCGTATATTTTTGAGTTTGGTTACTCTCCACCAAAAATTGCATTAGTAGACAAGGGCGCTGAAGAGAAAAAGACCTGACTGATACTTAATTTTTTTTGGGCTTCTTGGTTTTTACTGATACCAGTTACCCTGCCTAACCGCTGACTTGGTGACTTCATATGGAATTTTGTTGCCAAACAAGGTCTTTCAAAAATTTTCCAGGATGAAAATTCCTTGGAATTTAAAAAAAAAAAATCAAAAAGAAACAACCTTATTCAATAATCAACACAAATTATACACCCTTGTCTCTACTTTGTGCAACTCCTTCCCTAACATTAATAATAAAGGCTCTGAAAAATACAACACATACCTCGTACCCTCGGTAATCAACTTCCACATCATCACCATAGACATTGATATGCTGATTAGCATTGTTGAAAACTGTGCCAGGTCTAGGATTTCGAGGGTTGCAAGCCATATCATCTGCTACCATTAGTATTATTTGACTGTGGGAGAACACAGAAGAAAATATTACACAGTTTCAAGAATCACTTAAGACTCTTTGACTATCTCTTGTTCTAACAATACTAATTTAAATGGAGAATACTACATAAATAATTTTCACATGCACACTCTCTGTATTAAAAATGGTGCTTGCCTTTTATCTTGGTTTAATACTGAAGTATGCATATTGCAAAGCACTTTCATGATCGGGAAACCTCTATTATTTTAAATGTGCATATCGACAGTGTAAGTCGGCAATCACATAACTCGTTTGCGGTGTCTGAAAATCTCCGCCTCTATGTTAGTTTTTTAAAGGAGAACAAATTGACAGCATTCCTTGAAGTTTATGCAGAATTTTCTTTGCACAGCGAAGAAAAATCACAGCAGTTTTAAATAATTGCCGTCGAGTAGTTTTCCGTTTGAAAAATGAAGTATGACAGGAAGTCTGCAACGTAGCAAACCAAGTTATGTGATTGCCAACTTACACCGACAATATGCATTTTGCATTAGGAACATACATTCAAAAGGAAATGTTTATCTTCTTCTGATACAAGACAAGGTATGAATTTAAGTACTACACAAAATGGTTTCTCATGAAATTTTTGCAAAACCAAATCATATGGTGGGAAGTCTGAGAATCAACTCCTAAAAAAGATATCTAAAATTTTACTATTGATAGCAATTCAATGACAATAATATAAACTTCATTCATGCAATCTAACTTCTATTCGATCTGTGCTAAAAATAATTCCTAATATCTTATTCAGGAGTCAATATCTAAGCCTCCTGTTAGGTAGGTGAATTGGTTTCAACTTAAGAGTTTAAAAAGAAAACATTTGCCATTTTTTCCTACTTCTGATCTTGTTTAGTGCCCCAGTTTGTTAGCAATCGATGTTGATTTTACATATCTTCATTCTAAAAGAACATGACATCTTTTCCATTAATGTTAAAGATTACCACTTTCTGTAGATACTTAACCATTTTGTAATCCTGCAGTGAAAACAACATACCTGTCAGGTATTCCAAGTCGTTTTACACTACGATATATTGATAGAACATTTGCAACATGACGGTAATTGAACCAAAATCTTGAGGTATCAACTAGAACGGCCCAATTATTTGTGTGCACAGCCTGCAAAGAGAAAATGGCAAGAATCAGTTTGAATTAAGAACACTTGAAGTATTATAAGAATACAATAATTAATAGAAGGATACACACAGATTGAATAAAGCAGCTATGTGTTTGATAGATCTTTTGAAGACCCCTTAGGTGGAGGGGACTTCGTTTGAGACTAAAATTTATTTTGGTATTTTTTGAAATCCATACTGCTGCTTGTTGAAGGAAGAATGGGTAAAAGAGAGCACGGTACCTCTATTTTGATACTAAAAATTGATGCTTCAGAGAAATGTCTTTCATAGATTAGAGTTACGTTCTCATTACATACTTTCCTGAGCCGCTTCAAGAAAAAACAAATTGCAAGTTACAGAATGTATGTTGTTCTACGATAATCATGCACCAGACAGGCTGCTAGTAGGATTCAATTTCTTCAATGGATAGGATTATAAATTGGTTCAGAGGTAAAAAATCAGGAAATTAAATATGTTTGTGCATCGTTTATTAAACTCGCAAGAACAGCTGGGATCCGGGTTTGTCTGGAAACTAATGCAAATGACTACCTTCTGCCACGCCATACTCTAGAGAATGAAAATCTTAGGAGGAAAAGAAGTCGAGTATGCACAAGGTTGGTTTTACGTTTTACCTTAAATAACTACTTTCATTATTGACTCAATTAAATAGATACAGAGCAGCAAAGAGTAGAACATTTTGAGGCTATGAAACCATCCCTATCTTCATGCTGAAATACTCACCGAACACACATTCAGTAAACTTAATAAGACAATATGTACACAAACACTAAATGAAACGTTCATTTTCCTGATCACATTAAAAATTACTGATTTTATAAATTTGAAGGGGGTGATACAGCCGCTGAAATTGCTATCATTGCTATCACCGCATGATGAATTCAATGTAAACAAAGTTTAGTTTTCAACTTTACCGCCAGAGTGCTTGAGTTTGTGCGGCGGGTAAATATTGTTTTCAATAATTGGCGGGAGTTTTTAAAAGAAGAGCCCCCCCCCCCCCCCTCTTTCCGGAGGGAGAACGAACGTTGATAATTTCTTATCGTCCGATAATTTTATTTAGGGGCTGTCCATAAATTACGTAACGAGATTTTTCCGATTTTTTGACACCCACAAACCCCTTGAAATGCTATTCTAACGCTAGTCAATCTACCCAAAAACTATTATGTAACATTTGCCTCTAACCCCCCCCCCNCCCCCTCTCATCTTTTTTATTGTTTTTAAACAACCTCAACTTGGTGCGTTCGTAAGGCCTCCTGGAATTGGCAAGGCTAATAAATTTAAAAAATGCTTGTATGATCACATTTTTTCAAAAGGTGCGGATTTGAAATATTTTCCATGGTGTCTTAACCACCTAACATCCTCTTTTATCCGGGCAAAAGGTGGGAGGAAAAGATCGGCCCAAAGAGCGACAATTCATAGGGCGCCAACTGACGTTCAACCTAGACGGTAAAAATTTAAATCAGGCCATGAAAGCATTGTGAATGAAGTAACTTCATGTCCTCCTCCCACAAAAATCGAATTAACATGCTCAAACTGCTACAAGCAACAATTACTGCTCGGAAGACACTCACATTGCTTATCAAATTTTTGAAGGCGAACTGGTCAGAGTAAGCCTGTAGCACAGCAAGTTAAGTAATTTCATGTCTTGAGTCCTCTTCCTGCTAGAGCCGAATAAACATGCTCAAACTGGGTATACAGGCGACTATTACTGCTCCAAAGACGCTCAAATTGCCTGTCACATGTTTGAAGGCGAACTAGCGTTGAAGTGTTCATCTATTCGTAGAATACGCAATTATATAGCTTCATGAGCTTTGGTTGAACGGATTAATGATGTTACAGCCCAAAGGTAGATATCGTCTTTGATATCATGCCTTACTCACCTTACTTATTACTTTATTTCTCGCATCATGCGTCTTTCTTGAAGTTCTCGTCTAAATTAATATGTAATATTTACGCACTCAGCTTAAGGAAAACATTCCCTGAAAAGTATCTGCTCGCGTAAGTTATATAAATTTGCAAACTTGAACCGGTATGTAGCTTTTACTTTGATTTCAACTAAGTATTGAGAACTTTCTCTGGGATAGGGAGTTTGCTTCAGAGAATACCAGTGACACCGACACCATCGTGAAAATGGCCACAACACAACCCATAAGCTCAAATTCGCGGAAATTCAAAACTTTAGAGAAATTTCGCGTTAGTTCACTGGAAGTTTTACAATCTGGAAAAGTTACAATCGATACTTTTAACTCAGTAACTTTGCAATGCGTCCGGCTAATGCCATTTATCGATCGATGCATCGACTACATAAGCGATAATCCACCAATTCGACAGCCCATAAGCGCAAACGGGACGATTTGCGCTTATGGGCTGTTGATACCTATCGGAGATTCGCACTCATGGGCTGCAGTGCTGCGCCGGTGAAAAACGGAAGCAAAAGTACTAAAATTGCATGTATCCTTGCGACATGCAAGAGCATCGGAAACCGTTGTTGGCTCCGATCAGATTCGCTTCGCTCGTTTCGCGCACTTTTTTCCCCTCCGACTTTGTCACGACCACCTCGCGCGACAAATCGTCGGCGTCGGAACCGATCGATGCTGCTCGGCCCCTCAAAGGCGTCGATGAAATATGACATGACCCCGCGTTTTACTCCGGCGACGCCACCGGTCCCCGTCACACTCGGGGACCCGAATAAACGACCACAATGACCCAGCGCCGTCGTCGGCGTCCCGGCCGGGAACCGGTTGCGACTCAGCCGGGAACTCCAGTCACCGGCGACAAGTCAGTCGCGCCTCACCGTTGCCTTGCTCCGCTCGCCGACTCACTTCGCGCGGCCATGAAGCGCGCCCGACGCGCCCAATTCCCGTTTCCCGCTCCCGAAAGCTTAAGCCCCGTCGATGTCTCCGCGATTGTCATGGAGCGAGATTGTCATCCGACCCGCCGTGGTCGCCGTCATAGTTGCCATCGTCCTTATCATCATTCGCCTCACTCCGTTCCCGGATATCAGTAAGCAGATCCAACTTATTACACACACACACACACACCCCCCCCCCCCCTCAAATAGGGTCATCTGGAGTGACGTAATGCCGGGAATTTCTCATGGGAGGGAGGCGATGGTAAACAAATTCTTGAAAATCACACGAAACGATGGTTTTTTTTTTAAAAAAAAATGTTCATGCAGTTGGGGGAGGTTGTGGGCTCACACCTACTTTCCCCTCCCTCCCCGACAAAGTCGCTGGTCAGCTGCTGCAGACATAAATGAGTCAGTCGATACATTAGAACCTGACTTGTCGAGTGGTATAATATATTTGGGATATTAACAGTGCATATCGTCACCTTCCAGCAAAAGTAACTCGAGCGCCATTCATGGTAGACGCTATGCTGCCAGTCATCTCGATATTTTTTTAGTTGTTCCTTCAAAATTTTTTGCACACTTGCATGAAAATTTCAAGGATGAATCTTGATGACGAAAGAAGTATGAGGTACAATTTTCAAGAGATTCTGTTCATTAGCTTTTCCGCGCAAAAATTAGACAAGTTTGAGAATTTTGGCAACATAGTGCCCATACGCAAATGGCGCTTGTGATACTCCGGCTGGAAAATGATAATATTTTAATAGTAGGTATAGTGCAACTTCATTTTGATTCCTTCGCATCAATTGCAACAATTTGAGGATGGGATTACCACTTATATATAGCAGTAAATTACGTGGATAGGTTGTACCTATACGCAATTTTTTGTACGTATAAAGGTTTCTTACACCTTGTTCTCATTAATGGAAGCATTGAATGCAACTTCCATGCCCTCCATGAAGTTCACGACTCTCCTTCGATGTTGAATGTAGACCATAGAGTACTCTTTGATGTTCAACATTTGCCACATTGATAGATTTCGTCAATTTTTGACACCATATAGAGTCGACGTCCAAAACATGACATGCACAACGGACGCTTTGCAAGAGGTGAAATTTCAAAAACGCAAAGAAAAACTAAAGGACCCATATTCCAACCGCAGCTAATCATCAATCAATCCAGCAATCAGTTGAAACATATTTGGTTTGAACTGTCCACTTATTCACTCATTTTACCAATTTTTGATCATATTTCAATTGGCATTGTCACGTAGAGATTCGGGATATGAATGGATGTGCCATGATTAGGTCGCAATTTTTTCCGCAATACAGAACAGAGGGAGTCGAAATTAAGAGATGATTCTTCAGAGAGACGACAGGTTTTCCCGCTCTTATCGGCTGAATATAATTCGGGACGCTCATAATTTATTTTCATAGGTATTGATGACCTTGGATCGTTGTGTGCCCCCGACATTTTCGGGCTCATTGGACCAGCGCTAGCATATATTAGAATTCAAAATCTGGTTGGTTTTGTATCATAATATGACGATCTTTTTCCCGAATGTCCCACAATTCTCTTCCTTTCTGCGGTTTGCAAATCGCGGCGACCTCACTCATGCGTATTTTTCAGTGAATTTTGCCGACATCCACAAACGCGTGAAAGTGCTGATTGGGCATAATCCTCACCTCTGCAAACTTCACTCTTATTCCGTCCGCAGAATGTCCTTTGTTTTAATAATCACCTGTGCCTCAGTACTTAGTGTGACATGCAACGAAAGGATGAATGCATAATATGTTAAAAATGTCCAGGAAAAGTTACCGGAAATTTTACGAGACTGCAAAATATATAGGAAAAAATATGTAGGTGGAGGCTGCATACCCTAATAAAAATTGGCGATAGGAGCTGCGTTTCAAAATACCATAGGAATTTTAATGGCCGACTGAAGAAGGCGATAGAAAATCATATAGCTGGCTGTAGAAAGTGAAAAAAATCATACGGCCGGAATATACGAAGCGATAAAAAATTATACAGCCGGGCTGTAGTTCCTATCGCCGGGCTTTACACTTTATCGCCTGGCTGTTGCTTTTTCGCCATCGGCTATAAAAGGCTATAAGAAATTGTGTAGAAATTCTTGTGCTTTGTAAATCCTTAAGTTTGTACGGAATCACCTTAAGTTTACAAAACGCACATTATATTTTCCTTTACTACATAGTTTTTTTTTCATCAATTAAAATTAGAATAATCCATACAGAGTGTGCAAAAATTTCAAAGTGATGAGTTGAAAAACGCTGACTCCGCGAGATTAAATATTAGAGCCTAACACAAAGCGGAGCGGCGGCGCACTGGCGCCTACAAACCTAACAGGGATACTTCACGCATTGCGCAATGCGTGAAGTATCCCTGTTAGGTTTGAAGGCGCCAATGCGCGTTCAGCGCTGGCTGCCCGCCCGCCGCGCCGCGCCGCAGCGTACCGCGGCGCTGGAAGCAACTATTTCACACCCGAGGTATTGCACAGTATCATACGAAATTGCAGGCGCTCCAACATATTAGGAATGGCAAGCATCCTTCAAAAGTACGGAGCTTTCCTCCCAAAATAAATCAAGATACTGCGGCCCAAAAAGAGAGCGGTAGTCCAAAAACTCACTAAGTCCTAGCATCCGTAATTAGTATCGTTTAGCATACACTTTATCGCCAGGCTGTTGATTAATCGCCATCGGCTATAAAAGGCCATAAGAAATTGTGTTGCCGGCTATAGAAGCTATTGGAAATCTTACAGCCGGCTGTAGGTCTATGGTATTTTGGAACACAGATTCTACTGCCGATTTTTGCCAGGGTAATAAAGACCGCTCTAGAAAAAAGAGGCAATGCAAAAAATCTATTTTTAAGGACATGTAGGTACCTACGCACAAAGTTTCCTCATTTTAGTAATTCTCGGTTTATATTTCTGTGTCGCGTGTATGAAATATGAGATATACTTGGAAAAATAAAATGATACTTCTCAAGGCCGTGGCATGAACTTTCAGCTTCTGGGGTGAGGATCCAATTGGTCTTTCAAGGGAGGGGGGCCGGGGCCTGGTCGACACCCACCAGGACATTTGGAACGAAAGAGTTTCCTACTTATCTTTCGCTACGGGTTTTTTTCTTTGACTAAGTCTGTGTAAATTAACGAGTCGGCGAGGTGAGACTGCATTGAGGTGCTCCGTGACGAGTTTCTCGATTCAAAATCTATAGGCTTACTAGCGGAAATAGCGCACCATTGAATTTTAAAGAGGTTTTTTTGAGATACCTATTTGTAGTAGAGACTTTTTTGGGACGGGCCCGGTAGGGCTAACGGCATGCACAATTGCTTTCTGAACAATCGTCATGAGGGCTTTGGTGGGGTTTATACCTACATTCAGCACTTTCAGACATTTTGCAAAGCCTCTCAGGGCCTCTTTTTAAAATGACCCGCAGTTTAAATTTTCCAGTTTTCCTATAGTTTGTTCTCCTTTTATTTTGACTTGGTTGGGAACCACGCGAATACGAATAAAGGAACAACACGCTACTTTTGCGGCAACAACTTTCGCTTAAGATTTTATGCTATTTTTGTTTTAACACATGCCAATCGCACGGTCGCAGCTGCGATGTTATAATTGTGAAAGACGATCATCACAGACGGATGAACCTCCTCCTTTCCCCTCTTAGCCCCTCCAAAAATAGTCGGCCGTACCATGAGTAAGTGAAATTGGTTTGAAGCGCTTTCGTCCGAACAATAATGTGCCGAAAATCTCGAGTGAGTAAGAACTCGCGACAGCACACCGTATTATTGACCACCAAACTGCTGGATGATATAGACGGCTGCATGTCAAGGAAAAACGCCTTATGGACATTTCAGGCAATGCCAAATTTCATCTGCTGAATACAAACATTTCTGGAAACTCGCGAATGAAGTTTTCCATGAATGTTTCACAGAATTTTATTTACGATTTATTCATTTTATCGGAGTAAAATTCAGTGAAAAATATTCACAACTTGCCCCCGAAATGAATGTTGAGTCGGAAAAAATTTGACAGCCTCTAAATGTTCGAATGACGTTTTTCTTTAGTTCGGGAGAAGAATGAAGGACTGAGGAAAGAATGAATGCTTTCGGAACCGCACCATTGTTGTCATGAAAGAAGCATTCAGCTCACGATGACAATATGAAAGAGCGAATTTCCCTTAAAAATTTCAAGGATCTCCTTAAACCAAAGGTTGATACATAATTGTTTCCGCTGTGCTTTCGTACTTCGATGTTTCATGGAAAAAGTATTTTGAAACTGTTTTTGAGCCCTCGCATTAAAAAAAGAAGAAAAAACCTTTGAAATGTAGAAAAGATAATTTAACAATTGTTTTATTTAGGTACATTTCAAAAAAATTTGCATAAAACTTTTTCATAAAGTAAAAAAAAATATTTTTAATAGAGATATTTTAAAATATTTGTCGAATACCTATCAGTGTGTAAACAAGGGACTGAGAAAAAGCATTGGTCGTATAGAGAAGCAGGTCCCGTATACAAATAATGCTCCAGCAAATGAAAGCCAGCCGATACTGAATAATTATCGGTGGCTGAAAAGTCACATAATACTATTTGTAGCTTTGCAAAAACGCACATGAGTGCATTAGGTAAAAAATAATGGAAGATTTGATTTTCTGGTTGCCTTTTGGCAAACTCAACGAAAGCTTTATTTTTCAAAGCGGCAAAACCCTTTCGGTTGGAGTCGCTCAAAAACCAAAGCCTGAGGCATTGCAGTTCATGAAAGTCACATCAGAGAGAGAGCCGCAACCTCGCTTCAATTTTAAGCTGAGCTTTTGAAACACCATCACCGATTAATCTACCTCACGCTCTTGCAGAATCGAGACAGCTTTGCCACGGCGCGGCGTTTGCTCGAAAATCACTAAATATGTGACCGGCCAACCAGCATAAAATACATTTGCGGTCGATCTGACAATGAAGCAATTGCAAGAGGTAATAAGATAAACACGCGCAGGACCTACGAATATTCTGCGAGTCATCTTCGAGCCCAGGCATAGAAGCGCACTCTGGTTGCCAAATTTCAAATTAAAACCGTCTGCTTCGCATAGTACCCCAAGCATGGAATACAGTAGACAGTGAGGAGTCCTACAACCCTGTCCGAGC